CACGACACAGGAAGCCTGGAGCCCCCTCCCAAAGGTGATTGCTAGAAGGGGTCCAGACATTGCCAAATGTCACTTGAGAAGCGCTGCTATAAATTAGTGGGTTGGCAAACTTTCACTTCTGATTATTTTAGACATTGAAGACCATGTTGTAGTTTTCATCACATCACCAACTCTGTCATTGTAGTTATACTCTGCAGAAGTAGCCATAAAGAGTACAAAGAAATGAGCATTGTCAACCCAATTAAACTTGATATACACATATTGAAATGTTAATGTCACAAAGTTTAATCTCTTATGAATTAGTATTTTTCCTGTACATTTTGGAACTTTTAAAAATATAAAAACATTTTTAGCTTTAGGCTGTACAAAAACAAGCAGCAGACCAAATTCGGCATCTGGTCTCTAGTTTCCTGACCCATGATCTAAGCTAATATCAACAACACGGCCTCGTCCCAGAAGTCCTCTAGGACATGACTTCACCTCTGCCAGAGAAGGTCTGTAGATTGCACAACACAGCTAAGTAGCTCAGGCCAGCTGAGGTTGTGGATTTTATTCATTGCATGATTTTAGATGTCTCATTCCAAATAGCCATCCACCTATTCTGAACAGTGGGGATGCACAGTGATTCCTCTTCTCTAGGCTAGTTCCTCTAAGAGTCTTATATAGTGTTGTGTCAGCCTCTAAGTTTAGACTATGTTTGAGTACTAGATGCAATGGTTGGTATGTATAGTTGATACAGGATTGTAAATTGGGAGTTGTTTTCTTTTCCAGCACAGAGCCTAATCCTGGGGTGTTTGCTCCTGTTGTTAACATGTGCTTAAACTCTGGTTAATGAAAGTGTTCCTTTACTGCCTTGGTTTTAGCCTAGGTGGGAGAAAGAGGGTGGCAGGTATTTTGAGTATCTCAGTTTTTGGCAGTAAGTAGAAGCCTCTTCTATGAGGAAATGAGGTGACCCAACCTGGTTCTCCCTGCCACTTCAGGCTCCAGCTTCAGACTCCAGCTGTTCTACACCTGGAGCTTTAGGCTTCAGCTAATAATCATCGCTGTGCACCCCTGATCTACAGTTCTCCAATATGCATCTTCTGTCCTAGATGCCAACTTTGTGCATCTCATCATTCAGTGCAATGCTAGGTCCCCAAATCCCCCAATGTTAGCATGTGCCCAAGACAACAACTGTAAGGGATTTTGCACAGCAGAAGTCCCACATTTTCATGGGTTATACTACCCAGGTATCACACAGCAAACACAGTTCATTAAAGTTTTCCTTCCCCTTTCCACCAAACCATTGCTCCTGATGTGCCCCTGATTTTTTTCAGGGATTATTGACTTTGTTCTGCTGCAATCTGATTGTGAGCATGCAGAGGAGGCAAGCCAGGGATCTATTCTGTTGCCATCATGCTAGCCTCTAACCCACCAATTTTGATGTTTTAATTTTGCCTTTTCCAGAATGCCATTATTTGGAACCACTAAGTGTGTAGCATTTTCCAGACTGACTTCCTTCACTTAGTAATATGCAGTTAAGGTTCCTCTATGTCTTCTCATGGCTTGAAAGCTAAATTCTTTTTAGGGCTAAATAGCATGCCATTGTCTAGCTGTGTCACAGTTTATCCATTCACCTAATGAAGGACATCTTGGTTGCTTCTGAGTGTCGGCGATTATGAACAAAACTGCTCTAAACATCCATATGCAGGTTTTTTGTGTGTTTGCTGGAAAAATTAGTTTTCCAATATTCCAATAAAGAATATTGATATATACGTATATTTGCTATTTCCTATCGCCTTTATCTTTTGTATAGATCTATAATTCCATCTTCCTTTTTTCTTCTACCTTATAGTACAGTTCTGCTGCTGATTAATTCCTTCAGCTTTTCTGTGTCTGAAAAACTCTTCATTTGCCCATGTTTCTGAAGACATTAACACAGGGTATGGAATTCTAGAATGGTGTTCTTTCCTCTCATGTCTTCTGGCTTGCATTGTTTCTGATGAAAAATCTGCTTTTATTCTGAAGTTTGTGTCTTTTTCTCTGGTAGCTTTTAAAATTTTCTTTATCAATGGTGGTAAAACAATTTGCTAAATATTTGGCATATTTTTCTTTATTTTTCTTATGTTGGGGCTCATTGAGTTATGTGAGGTTATAGTTTTCATCAAATTTGGAAAATGGTCTGTATTTCTTCAAATATTTTTATACCTCTCCAGTCCTTTGGGACACAGAATTAGACACACATTGGTCCTCTGGATGTTGTTCCACAGTCCGGAATCTGTTCATATTTTTCATTAGTTCTGTGTGTGTATTTCATTTTGGATAATTTCTATGACTATGTTTTCAAGACCACTAATTATTTTTTGCAATGTCTAATGTGTTGTTTATCCTTTGTGGTATAGTTTTTATCTTTTACATTGTAGCTTTCAATTTGGATCTCTTTAAATATCTTTCCTCTACCTTCTTGAGCATTTGAGATATAGTTTTAACTTTTAATGATCTCTTTAGTCACTATGTCAGCTGCATTATTTCAACAGATTAATTTTTCCCATCATTATGATGCAAACCTTGCTGCTTGTTTGCATGTTTGTGAGTTTTTGCTGGATTCCCAAGCACTTGCTGGGTGCTCTGGGACATGGTTTAGTTATTGCATGCAGTTTGATCCTTTCAGAAAAACTTGTTGTGAATTTTTGTGAAACAAGATCAGAGCAGCTGCTAATCTAGAGTTGTCTCCGCTGTGCTAGTACTCTCTTAGCACCCTGTCTGACACCATGAAGTACAAGTTTTCCACTCTGACTGGGAACACCCACTGTGCTGTCTTTTTCAAGTCCCAGAGATCATTCTCTTTGTCTTTTACAGTAGCTCTTTCTCCAGTTTTGAGAGGTTCATTCAAACAAATGTGCTAATCACTACTCAGTTGAAGACTTGTGGTCTCTGTAAGGCTCTTTTGGGATATCTCTCAGCTCTCTGTACTGTGCTCTGCAAACTCTCACTTCGTTGGTGTTCCTAGACTCATAGTTCTACTTTCAACTCAGGGAGGTTGTGGTGTTTTGCTAGGGCCACACCCTGGTCTGCAGCAGGGAAGGAACACCCTTCATGAAGTAAACAGGACTAATCACAGGGCTCTGCTAGGATTCTGGTATTGGAAATGACTGTCCTGTGCTGCTCTATGTCTAATGTATGAAAAATGTTTCATGTACTTTGTCCTCAGATTAAGTTGTTTCAGGTGGGATGGAGACCTTGGTTGAACGCAGAAGTCAGATGTGACAAGTCTGAGGGTAATGGCTGTCTGGTTCTCTAGGAAGTGGCCACAAATGAATGCTCAGCTTCTCCAGGAATCACTACTTCAAGAGTCACTCTGGTACAAGCTTGTTCAGTGGAAGAATGTGGCAATGCAGGGATGTGTGCCCAGTGAAGACTGTGTACATTCTTGGCTTTCAGCTGATGTTCCACATGGCAGAATGTCAAACATGGTGGTTAGTGACATTTGTACTTTGGCAAAGGACCTGTGGCAACCTTGAGTTTGCTACAACCTTGTAGTGTAGTGTAAGATCACAGTGTATGGTTTCACATTGACCACTCCACTCACTAAACTTTTTTTTGATAGGAAGGTATGCTTTACTGGGGTCCATGGCTTTCCATTCAGACATGTGGGATTCTCTATAACTCACCAACAGGTTTTACAACAGACCTATATAATTACTTCATACATAGAGATTGAAATTAAGTGTATGTTGATTATCTCCTGAGGTTCCAGCAAGATTGGGCTGACAGAGTCTGTGGCCACTTGCTGCACCTTTGTCCCTTTCAAAGGCCCTCTTCTGCAGTTTGGAGTTTTAATTTCTGTATGGAATATCACCTTGAACCTTCCATTTCTGCTCATAATGAACCAGGTCAACATTTGCTCTGGTTCACAAAGGTGGTCAACATAGGCCTGTGAGGAGTGAAAAATGCTGCCACTTTAACTAGTGGTCCTGGGACCTTGGGATCCCTGGGGTTTCAAATTATCCCCCATATACCCTGGTTGTATGGAAAGGGGTTTTCATTTCAGAAAGAACTGACAGGGATGGAAGTCAGCAAAAAGGGTAGAATGCTGGGCTCTAAGATTAGAGGGAAATGGAGGCTGCACACCCTTCCTTTGTAGGAATACTTGTGGGGCCACAGCATATGACCAGGTGAGCCCTTTAATCAGCCCAACATCACTATGTGGAGGTTTTCTCTTCACTTCTCCCTGCTACCCAACTTTACAGAGCCTGGACCAGCCCTTCTGACTGCAATGCTACTGCTATGTAGTCTTCATCCTGAAGAGCACCTAAGAATTCATTTCACAGATGTGTTTTTCAGGTTTATCATGTGCACCCAGACCAGCTGACTTAGACTTACTCTTTTTCTTTTACCTATTTATAACTAATGTTAGTTTGCTGCTCTTTTATATGGTACAATCATGGCCCCTCTTCCTGATATAATAATAAAGCTAGAGAATAAAAGAACCACCTAAAAGAATTGGAAAATGCTTGTAGATGATGTTCATGAAAGAACATCTTGGCAGACAGGTGGAGAGAAATTTCCTGAGTAACCTCTGAAAACCTACAACACGGTGTCCAGAGAGGCGTCAGCAAATTATAGTCAGGGTCCATGTCTAACCCTCCACCTGTTTTTGTAAAAAGAGTTTTACTGGCACACAGCTATACCATTTGCGTGCATATTATCTATGGCTGTGACAATAGCCAAGTGGATCAGTTACAACAGAGAATGCAATGGCTGTGAAGCCTATAATGTATACTTCCATCCTTTAGATTAAAAAGTCTGCTCAAGCATGGTCCAGAGATAAATATATTAAATGTTCTCTGATTCTGACAGAAAAATTCTAAATTTTGGCTTGAATAATATTCCAGCATACAGTCCATATATTGTGTTATTTCACAATGATGAAGCTGAGGTGTACAGCAGCTATAAGTTAATACTAAAAGGTAAAATTTAGTCACTACTAATGGCAAAACTCTGCTTCATTCCCACTGTAGGAACTGGATGTTGAAAAGCAAGGATGAAGTTGGCAGGACTGTTCTGCTTTCTTGTACTTATCATTTGTCACACTGACTTAGGGCAAAATGAAGAAACCCCTAGGAAGCAAAGGAAGAAGATGCATTATAAAAGACTGAGAAAAAATTCCAAGTCAAACCAAGGATCTAGCAGTCAGCTCAGAACTGGGCAGACTATGATAGCCACTCCATCAGCAACACTTGCCATGGTTAACCTGGATTACAGCATGGAGGATAAATTTGAATCTTTTTCAAGTTTTCTTGGAGTAGAATCAAGCTATAATGTGATACCAGGTAAGAAAATAGTATGAGAGAAAACCTTCATGAAAATAATGCCTCCTTCTGCACCTCCCCCCACATAAAATTTAAGCTCTATTATCTTTTGGTTTAACCTACAAAGCTAATTATGAATAAATTTTTAAAAATTTATAGAATATACTTAAAATACAAAATTATTGAAAGCCAGAAAAAAAATAGTTCCCTACAACTATATTTATAAAATCGCTATCTTGGTTTATTTATTTCCAGTCTGTTACTATGCTATGCATCATATTTTACATAATTGTCATTATAGAAAAAATATGTATACATTTGTTAACTGCTTTTACATTTATAATGAGATATCACTGAAGATATAGAAATAAATTACTTAGATGATTTTGTAGAGCAAAAAGGCAATGAATTTTATTTTCTCCGAGTTCATTGATATCTTTCATTTTTCTCTCTCTCTACCTACATGATGGTTTTTGGGTTTTTTTTTTTTTTGGTTGTATAGTTTTTATATCTTCTAATATCTTGAGTCATTTTACAAATATCAGCATAGAATAAGAGCACTCTGTCACCAATATTCCTCCCAGGACAACCTCCAATATCCAAGGAAATAAAAGCACAACAAAATTGAGGGTATTTTCAAGTGAACACGTTATTCTCACCAAAAATTTTGCTGGGTGGAGAGGGAGAATATGCCAAACATTATTTTTCGACATCAACAAGGCCCCTATTCACTTTTATAATCCACCTACTGCTACTTCTCAACTTTATTTCCATGTTGTCTTCCTGCACCACATTCATTCAGAACTGCATTCAACTTCAGGGCATTTCCCTGTTGTTCTCTCTCTTCTCTCTCTCTCTCTCTCTCTCTCTCTGTTTTTGTTTGTTTGTTTTGCTTGCACAACACTTGAACACACCAGTATATATTTTCTCCCAACACTATACCTTATAAACCCCTTTGGCCCTTCTCTCTTTCCCTCCACCCTGACCTTCTTAAACTCAGAAACGTCTGTTCAGTCATCAGTGTCAGCTAGTTTACAATGATTGTGCTTGTCAGTTCATTTACTTTATTTCCTTCTATTATTCTTATATGTTAAACGCACCAATATTTTTCTTAATCTTTCTGGTTTATCTTGCTTCTATAATAATGCCCTCAAATTCTTTCCACTTTATTGTAAATGGTAACTTTTCATCTTTCCTTATAGCTGAATAGTATCCCACTATGTAATCATACCACATCTTTATTCAATATTTTATCAGTGGATACTCAGATTGCTTCAAAATTCTACCTATTATAAATAATGGTGCAACAAACATTGTGGAGCATATAATTTTTTTTAGTTGATAATTTTTGGTTTTTTGAATAGCTACTGAAAGTGGAACTGCTGGATTATACAGTATTTCCACTTTTCGTTTTTTAAGATAAGTCCAGATTACTTTCCAAAATGACTGCACTTCCATCAAGATTGCTCCCCTAAAACTTCTGACTCCAAAGTTCATACAGTCATCATCACTGGACACCACCACCCTACCCACCAGAGGCCCAATTCAAGTCACAGGGAATAATTTATTGAAAGCTCAAGGAACAGAACATTTTTGGTCATAAGGAGGAAGTGAAGCTGGATCTATATCTGGGTACCAGCCTCAGCAGCTGACTGGGTCATCAGCAAAACTGGCAAAATGGTGAATGAGTCACAGAATTTAATAGCAGCGGAGGTGGTGGTACCCACAGACCAGATCATAGTCCTTAACTCATGCCCATTGAAACCAAGGTGCCCTCTCCTGATCCAGGAAAGAGATTGGTCAGTTCAGAAGCCATCAAGTCGCTATCACCAGGTTATTGAAAACTACCAGGTTATTGTCAAGATCACTGGGCATTTCTACGCCAGCCAGATGGTTCAGAGTAAGAACTGGAACATTCTAGCCCAAGTGAAATAGCTGCACCAAAAGGGACAGAGTAACCTGGTCCAGGCACAGGGGGAGTGACCCATCACACAGATTCAAGGATAATGGGCTGAAACTGAGAGTGAGTTCTCCCCACTAGACCTGAGAATGAGTGGGAATCAGGGATGGTTGGGCCGGGAAGCAGATCAGGTTTGCCACTTGCTTGAGAAAGTATGTTCCAGGGAGGAATCCTTATCTCTGGGCCCCAAACACCCAACCAATTGTCCTAACACTGCCTCCCCTTGAGGATATCACCTTGGAAATTTTAGCTTAGGGTACTTTAAATATGGATTGCTTAAATAAGTAAGTTCCACAGGTCCCATTGACAGGGTGGGTCAGATTCCATGAGGAAGAGAAAATTTCCTTCAGGTTTTTTTTTTTTTTTTTAAATAACAAAATGACTGTACCAATTTACATTCCCGCTAGCATTAATATGTTCCTCTTTCTCCACATCCCTTTCCAGCATTTGATGTTGGAGGTCTTTTTGATATATCCCATTCTCACAGGTGTGAGATGATTATCGTTGTGGTTTTCATTTGCATTCACATCCCTTGTTAAAAATGATGAGTATCTTTTCATATCTATTGGCCTTCTGTATATACACCTTGGTAAAATGTCTATTAAGACTGTTGCCCATTTGAAAATTGAGTTGTTATTCTGTTAACTTGAATTAGCTCTTTAACTTGGATATTAACACTTTGTTGGCTGTGTGATATATGAATATCTTCTCCCATTCAGCAGGATGCCTTTTTGATCTCCTAATACTTTCTTTTGCTTTGTAAAATCTTCATTGAGGTAATCCAAATGTTTACTTTTATTTGTATTTCGTTTGCCCCAGAGGTGGAGTCCCAAAAGCCCTCCCAGCACTGATGTCACAGAACTTATTGAAAATGCTTTCTTCTATGTGTGCAATTTTTTTGATGGGATCGATCTAAGTCTTTAATTCATTTAAATTTATTTTTGTACATGGAGTGTAGAGAGATCAAACTTCATTCCTTAACATGTGTATGTCCAGTTTACCCATTACAATTTCTTAAAAGTCTCTCCTTTTTCCACTGGAGGTTATAGCTCCTTTCTCATAAATTAGGTATTGATACAAGTGTGGATATATTTCTGGGCTTTTCAGTTCTGTTCTATTGTGTGTATATATTTACTCCACTAGCACATTCTTTTAATTACTGCTGCTTTATAATACAATTTAAAATCAGGTAACATAATGACTCAATTATTTTTCTCTTAGAAACGCTTTTGCTTCTGTGGTTCTTTATAGATTTTAGTATTTTTTGTATTTTCTTGAGAATATCATTGGAATTTTAAAGGATATTACATTAAATCTATATATCACTTTTGGTAAGTCATTTTGACTATATTAATTTTCCCTACTCATTAACATGGAATATCTTTCCATCTCTTTATGTTCTGCTCTATATCTTTGAATGGTATATTGTAGTTTTGTTGTATGAATCTTTCACTTGCTTAATTAATTCTTAAGTATGGAATTCTTTTTGATATGATTGTTAACAGAGCTGCTTTGTTAATTTCTTTTTTTCCTGTATATAAAAATACAATAGACTTGAGCTTTTTTGTTATGTTGATTTTGGATACTACCACTTCACCACATATTTATTGTCTATACTAGCTTTATGGTGAGGTCTTTAGGGTTTCTATATATAGTATCATATCATCTGCAAATAATTTTAGTATCATATTTTCCACTCTGGTTTACTTTTATTTTTTGTCTGACTGTTCTAGTTAAAACTTCTTCTTTTTTTAAAAAGATTTATTTATTTATACAAGCACTGGGTACAGTCAGAAGCGTGGGAGGGTGAGAGAATTCACCAGAGCCAGAGTGGGGAACAGAACAGGCAAACCGATGAAATACAGTGCTGAGGGGAGCAGCGGGCGCAGCAAGAGAGGTCTGCGGTGTCATGTGGGATCTTGGTTGGCGGCCGGGTGGCTGGGGCAGCCGGGAATCAAACCGACACTGTAGAGGCTGCGGGCAACTTTGCAGCCCAGTGCTCAACCGCTGTGCCACCAGGGAGGCCCTCTAGTTAAAACTTCTAATACAATTGCTAGGAAAGGAATGTTGAAATCTCCAGTATTAATTATGGATTTGCATAGCACTCCTTTCTGTTCTTCTAGAAAGTTTCGGTTATTCTCTGGCTGTCCATAATACACGGGTATAAATACACCTTTAGGTGCATATGTTCTGGATATTTGGACTCCTTTATTATTATGAAAGGTACTCCTATCCTGGTAATCCTTTTAGTGAAGTCTTATTTTCTCTGAAATTAAGAAATTTTTAGCTTATTAGCTTATTAGCTTTTCAATATTGTTTTCCCAAACTTTTTGTTATTATCTACATTTTTTCTTTATTTAGCAATTTTATGTAGTTACATATAGCTTTTTATAGGTTTTAATCCTATTTAATAGCTTATGCACTGTTGAAATCTTTAGATTATCTCCACATGATTAAATTACACACATCTTTAATGTTGGCTTTAATTCTATAATTTTAATATTCATCTTAGGTGTTCCTTGTTCCTTATTGTTTACAGTGCTCTAATTATTATTATTATTATTATTTTGTGTATAGTTACTTCCATTGTATGATTTCTGGTATGCCTCTATTTTATTTTTTAATTGCTGCTTTAAGATTTGGGCATGTCATGGGCCTCCCCTGGTGGCACAGTAGTTGAGTGCTGGGCTGTGAAGCTGCCTGCAGCCTCTGCAGCACTGGTTCAATCCCTGGCCGCTGGTGAGGGTCCCACATGGCATGCAGACATCTCCTGTTGCGCCTGCTGCTCCCCTCAGCAGTGTGTTTCGTCAGTCTGCCTGTTCTGTTCCCCGCTCTGGCTCTGGTGAATTCTCTCACCCTCCCACGCTTCTGACTGTACCCGGTGCTTATATAAATAAATAAATAGATCTTAAAAAAAAAAAGATTTTGCCATGTCATAAGCTACATTCAAATAATACTATAATATTCCATATTATTTTTACAGTCTTTTAACTTGAATTTTCATTTCCTTCTCTACTTTTTCTGGTTATCATATAAACTACTTTAAATTAAAAACATTGCAAATATGAGAAACAGAAATAACACTAACTTTAAACTGATCTTTATAGACACTTACTGAATAGTCCACTTAATAGCAAAATATACAGTGTTCAAATGTTCGTAAAATATTCACCAGGGGAGAGACATATTCTTGATCTAACAAACAAAACCCAACAAATATAAAATTAATAGAACCATATATATTATGTTCTATGATCAAAAAATTTAATCTACAAATCAAAAACATACATATAAACAAAAATAAAAAACTTCTAATACAAGATTAAATAGAGTGGCGACAATGCCTTGTTCTGATCTCAAAGGTGAAGTTTTCAGTTATTCAATATTAAGTATTATATCAGTTGTTAGTTTGGACATATAACCTTTATTATGTTGGGATAGATTCCTTTTCATCCAGTCTTGTTAAGACTGGTCCAACCACTATGGAGAGCTGTGTGGAGACTTCTTGACCTACTAAACATAGAACTTCCATATGATCCAGCAATTCCACTCCTAGGTATTTACCCAAAGGACACAGAAACATCAATTCCAAAGAGCACCTGCACCCCTGTGTTTATAGCAGTACTGTTTACAATAGTTAAGCTTTGGAAACAACCCAAACGCCCAAAAATAGATGACTGAATCAAGAAGATGTGGTACATATACACCATGGAATATTACTCAGCATTCAAAAAAGATAATCACATGCAATTTGCAGCAACATGGATGGCACTGGAAGGGATCATGCTCAGTGAAATAAGCCAGAAAGAAAAAGAAAAATACTGGATGGTCTCACTCATAGCAGGAATCTAGAAATCTTAAATAAGGGACCAGGAAAAAGAATAACTATAAGTAAAAATCAAAATCAACAAACAACTATGAACCAGAGACACTCTATGGGGAGTGGGGGGCGGGGAGGGGAGGGATTGGGGTCAAAATAAGGGGGTTGCAATTGTATGGGGAATATAAAAACAAAATATATATATTAAAAAAAAGTTTGTTTTTTTTTTTAAACCACAAAAGGGTGCTTTATCTTATCAAATATTTCTCTGCATCTATTGATACTATCATATGGCTTTAATCCTTACTTTTATTAATAAAATATATTACATTGATTGATTTGTGTGTATGGAACTATCCTTGCATGGTTTCAAAGACCCTACATATGAACTTGTAATGTGTTGTTGAATTTGATTTGCCAGCTTTTTGTTGAGAATTTTCACATCAATATTTAGCAGATATTGGTTTTCCTTTTTTTGTGATGTCTTTGTCTGTTTTGGTATTATGGTAATGTTAGCATCGCAGGTTATGTTAGGAAGTATTCCCTCTTAGACTTTTTGAAATAATTTGAGGAAAATGGGCATAAGTCTTTAAAGGTTTCATACAATTTACTTGTAAAGTATCTGTTTCTGGGCTTTTGTTTTGGGGGAAATTTTTGATTACTGTTTTAATTCCCATAATTGTGATAGGTCAATTTCAACTTTGTTTCTTCCTAGTTCAATCTTGGTAAACTGTATTATTCTAAAAATTTATCTCTTCAATGCTATGATCCTTTGATTTCTATGGTATCAGTAGTAATTTCTCCTCTATCATTTCTAATTCTATTTATCAAAGTTTTCCCTTTTCTTTTCTTTGTTAATCTAGCTAAAGGTTTATCAGTTTTGTTTACATTTTTGGATAACAAACTCTAAGTTTCATTGAACATTTGTGGTCTTTTTGATTTCTATTTACTTCTGTTCTGATTTTTATTATTTCCTTAATCTACCAAATTTTTGGCTTTATTTTTTCTTCTTTCTCTAGTTGCTTTACATGTAATATCACATTGTTTATTTGGGATTTTTATTCTTGATGTAAGCCTGTATTGCAATTAACTTCCCTCTTAAAACACTTTTGATGCAACCCATAAATTCCAATATTTTATGTCTGCATTTTCATTAGTCTCCAGGTATCTTTTAATTTCTGCTTTAACTCATTGTTGTTAAACAGCTTGTTGCTTTATCTCACATGTGTTTCATGTTTTTTCCAGTTTTTAAAAATAGTTCTTTTCTAGCGTTACAGCATTATGATCAGAAAGAATGCTTGGAATAATTTAAATCCTTATAAGTTCACTGACTGCTGACTTGTGAGCCAATATACAGTCTATTTTTGAGAATGTACCATGTGCAATTAAAAAAAAAGTACATGCTGCAGTTTTGAGGTGGAAGGTTCTGTAGATGGCAAACTGATCTGATCTAGTCCTCTTCTCATTTTTAAATTGGGGTGTTTGTCTTTTTGTTGTTGAATTTTAGCATTTCTTTTAAGTATATTCTGGGTATTAGAGCCTTATCTGGTACGGTTTCCAACATTACCTCCCCTCATATATAATGTCCTTTCAATTTCTTGACAATATCCTTTGATACATCAAATTTTTAATTTTGATGAAGTCTAATTTTATCTATTTTCTTTTGTTCCTTGTGCTTCTGGTGTCATATCACAGAATCCATCACCAAATGCAAAGTCATGAGATTTATACTTATGTTTTCTTTTATGATTATTATGGTTTTAGCTCTTATACTGAAGTGTTCGATTCATTTTGGGTTAATTTTTTTAAGATTTTATTTTATTTATTTATACAAGCACTGGGCACAGTCGGAAGCGCAGGAGGGATAGAGAATTCACCAGAGCCAGAGTGGAGAGCAGAGCAGAGCAGGCAGACTGCCAAAGTATACTGCTGAGGGGAGCAGCGGGTGGCAGGAGAGGTCTGCACGCCATGTGGGACCTTCGCTGGTGGCTGGGGATCGAACCGGCGTTGCAGAGGCTGCGGGCAGCTTCGCAATCCAGTGCTCAACCGCTGCGCCACAGGGGAGGCCCCAGTTTGGGTTAATTTTTATACTTAGTGTGAGTCAGGAGAAACTTCATATTTTCATGTGGATATTCAGTTGTCAATTTAAGACACTGTTTACTCCCCTACTGAGAGTTCTTGTACTCTTGTCAAAAATCCATTTCCATTTATTATGTCTAGGTTTATTGCTGGACTCTAAATATCTCATTGGTCTATATGACCTGTCTTTATACCAGTACCACTGTATCTGGAGAAATATCTGGCATAAGCTAATAATCACAGCTTTGTAGTAAGATCTGGAGTCATCCAATTTTGTTCTTTTTCTTCATCCTCCCCCTGAGATTATTTTGTTTTGGGTGGGGGAGTCCCATGTAATTGCATGCAGATTTGAGGATCAACTTTTCAGTTTTTCACAAAAGGCCACTGGAATTCTGACAGAGAATAATACTCTTACAATCAGTAAAAACTCATGTATCTATTTTGTCTTCCAGAGGATGGACTGGGTGGGTGGGATTAGTTTACTTCTATATCCAGATAAGAGATAGGTATGGTATGAGTATGGCTTACAGTGGCGAGAGAAAGAACAGGATAAATGTGAGAACTCATTTAGGGTTGGAATTTGGGGAGGTAGCTTATCAGATGGAATGGAGTTATCAAGAATGACATTAAGGTTGGAAGGAAAACAATTCCTCTAATATTCAAATCATTGTCTAATAGCTTGCTTAGCTGACACACTCAGATATCTACAGCCCTGTATGCAGAGAAATGACGATACTAAAAACCACTGTATTGTGCACTTTAAAGGGTTGAAAATTATGTTATGTGAATTGTGTTTCATTAACACACAAAAAACGAGTGATCATCGTAATCTCAATCTTTCAATTCAACATCCAAGCATAATACAAATATGACATCTGCCCTTACCCTCCTCATACACAGTGTGAGATCTGTTACCTTATAGGTTCACGGCTGTGGTGATCTGGGCAGCCTGCTTAGAGAAGAAGTCTACTGTTTGTCACTGAATAACTATAACGCACAGAGTCTCTGTGTGCCTGTGTTGGACACACAGTATCAATAAACAATGGCATATATAGGGTTATTTGTTGTGTAACTTGCACCTAACATCCATCCTAATTACAATTCCAGAGTCAAACTACTAGGAGAAGGATTCTCTCAGGACCCAAGCAAGGGGCTGAGAGAGCAGAGAATGTGTCAGGGAGCTACTGCTATAAGTTGCTTCTTCCATGAACACACAGAGGATGCCATTCCTGTGATGGTGCATTTACTTGATTTCAGCATGGTCGCTTCCGAAATTCACAGTTTCTGGTAACTGCATATAGAATGTAAATGTGTTATTGTTCTCTTCCAGGAAAGAAGGGACGCTGTGTGGTAAATGGGATGACCATGTACAACAGAGCTGTTTGGTCCCCTGAGCCCTGTACTACCTGCCTCTGCTTGGATGGACGAGTGCTATGTGATGAGACCGCCTGCCCCCATCAAACATGCCCCCAGACAGTCACACCTGAAGGAGAATGCTGCCCTGTCTGCTCTGATACTGGTAGGCAGATTTAGTCAAAAACAAAACCACATGTGATTTAGTCTTAAACTTGTATTGGTTTTTATTTGTCACTATCTGAAGTGTTAAATTATGATAAATTAGTCATCAGGGGATTTTAAATACTGGCATGATGATAAATTATTTGGGAAAGTGTATGGTAGGTAAGAAAAATTAAACACCCCGACTTTATCATTCAGGCACTGTCAGACTGAGTACCCTTGGTTCAGATGACATCCTACATCTGACTCTAGCTCTTTTTTTCTTTTTTTTAAGATTTATTTATTCATGCATACAAGAACCAGGGTACAGGCCAGAACTGCAGGAGGGTAAGAGGATTCACCAGAGACAGAGCAGGAAGCAGAACAGGCAGACTGATGGGGAGTAGTGGGCGAGCAGGAGAGGTCTGCTGCGCCATGTGGGTTTCTTCCTGGCAGGCCGGGATCGAACCTGCACGGCAGAGGCTGCAGACAGCTTCACAGTGCTACGCTCAGGCACCTGTGCCACCAGGAGGGCCCCTGACTCCCAGCTCTTGAGGTGATAAAGTTGACACAGCTCATGTCAGTGTGAGGAGCTCTGCTTAACTCCTTACATGTACCTCATTTAATCCAGCTCATCGTGGGTTTAATTATCATGCCAAATGAAGTCAAACAAATAACTCATGGTAAAGAAAGGGAGGAGAGTCTGCATCAGAAGAGAGCAGAGATTCATTCTCAGTCCTGCCTGATCATTATCACTCAATAATCTTAGGAATGAGGGGTGTGGCCCTGAGAGACCGCTTTCTCTGGGGCACAGTATGTGCAGAACGGTCACCACCAGGTTTTGTTGGATGCTCACTGTCATCCCATTCCAGGAGGTTGATATCTGATGAAGCATAGGACCTTAAGGAAGGAACCAATGTCTCCTCCAAGAAAAGCCTAGCCAATGCCTTATGAAATAAACAAATAAATATGTACTAATGTGTTGAGCGAAGGGTAAAGATAGTTTTTTCTATGATCATGCACAAAGGATGATGCAGGATAGGTGTCTACAAAAGTGTCCTGCCAGAAGGAACTTCAGAATACTTAGAATTACATTTTAAGATAGTATGCCTTGAAAAAACATTAGAAAACAGAAGTCTTTAATGAAACCAACTCCTTGGGGGAGAAATACAAGATTCAAAGTTCTCAGACAGTTTTCAAACAACTTGGAATATTCTTGAAACACTGGCTATTTTGGAAAAATAAACTTGGATATACGGGAAGGATTTTAACTGTTTCAATATGATAGCTTTAGTTTCCTTTTACTAATTTTTTCCTATTCTCCTCTCACATGTTCTGCCAGATGTGAAAAAAAAAAAAAACAAACCTCACAGACTTTATAATATATACTTAATTGGAAGCTAAAGTAATTTCTTCAAATAATTTTATTTTCTGAATCTTCTCAGGGAGTAAGTTTATGTGTAGTATTAAATAAAAGCAGGGAGATGACTACGTAAATTGGTAAATCTAGGCACTGTGAACTCCCTCTTCCATAACTCTTCACTCAGAGGTGAGTCTGAAGTCCAGCCTTTCCTGTGTCTTCTCCATGTTCTGCCAAACACAATAATAGCTAAACACAAATACAGATAAATTTTCTACTGTTATCTATTTTATATCATGGAATCTTAAGAAATACTCTTCCTGACTTAAGCCAGGACATGTTTTTTAAGTCTCAAGCAGGAAAAATTATGAGTAGAGAGTCTGGGAAGAAAAAAGAGAACTTTTGATAATTCCAAATTTCAGAGGATGCTTTTAAATCCATGGAGCTAAAAGAAAATCTGACCCCCCCAAAAAAAATCTATAAAAAAAAGTGAGTATCACTATTATAAGCAAGTAAAACATACATCTGTTTCAGTTTTTTTGTTTGAAAATGTACAAATTCTTACTGAACAGTATCTGTTATAAAGGCATCACATCTGATTACACCGCAATCTCACAACAGAACTGCTTACCATTTTGCATCATTTGGCAATATTATTCCCTCTTTAGTCACCAGGTAGCATGATATTCTAGCAAAAGTAAATATTAAGGCCCACATACAAGACAAGAAATGTCTACCACAGATCTTACAAAATAGAAATTTTTGTATTAATAAAAATAAAAATATTAAAATAATTCAGGAAAAAATTTCAAGCTGCATATCATATTTAAACTACACTTAAATACTTGGAGGGAATAATATTTACTAACCTCATTCTATGATTTTTCCTTTTATTAATATTACAACTTGCTCCTTCTGTCTCCTCCTTGTGTGGTCATTAGCCTCCTACTTGCTACTCACTGGCATAGCATTAAATGATAGAAATGAATTTTCTGGTGATTCTTCAGAACAAAGAAAGCCTATCGATTCACTTCATAAGCAGTTGCCACCTCCTCAAGTGGACACAAACCATGCACTGAGGAAAGAGGAATTTCAATTTGAGGAGGATGAAGAGGAAATTAAAGAAGATGAAAGTAGGGAAGGAAATAAAAAGACCTCTGGGCCTAAAAATCAGGGGAGACTTCCCAATGAGGGGCAAAGCAGAGACAGGGGGATAAAGAGGCCTGGAGAGGAGGGGAAGCAGGTGCGCCAGCTGGGAAACCCAACCAGCAAGAAGGATGAGGAGGATGAGGGGAACCAGGAGTCCAAAGAGGATGAGGAGGACGAGGACGTCAGAGGAGATGCCTTCAGGATGCCCTCACGACTCCCCATACCTGCTCCTCCCAGAGGCCAGCCATCTCTGCCCAGCAGGTGCGCTCTGTCCTACAAGACCATCAGTTGTATCGGCACTGACCTCACACAGATACCACCACTAACAGCATCAGAGATAACAAGCCTGGAGCTCATTGGTAAGAGATGTTGGTGTTTTATTTTGAGCTTTATTTTTTTTTTTTTTTAAACAATGGTATACTTTTTTTTTTTTTTTAAGATTTATTTATTTATTTATACAAGCACAGGGTACAGTCAGAAGCGTGGGAGGGTGAGAGAATTCACCAGAGTCAGAGCGGGGAGCAGAGCAGGCAGAAGGACCGAAGCACACTGCTGAGGGGAGCAGCGGGCGGCAGGAGAGGTCTGCGCGCCATGTGGGACCCTCCTCCGGTGGCTGGGGAGCAGCCGGGGATCGAACCGGCGCCGCAGAGGCCGCGGGCAGCTTCGCAACCCAGCGCTCAACTGCTGCGCCATCCGGGAGGCCCTTATTTTGAGCTTTAAAAGTAAATAGGTCTCGGGCCTCCCCTAGTGGCGCAGTGGTTGAGCACTGGGCTGCGAGGTTGCCCACAGCCTCTGCAGCGCTGGTTCGTTCCCCAGCTGCCGGTGAGGGTCCCACAAAAAAAAAAAAAAAAAAAAAACCAAAAAAAACAAAACAAACAAACAAAAAAAAGTAAATAGGTCTCATTGCCTTAGGATGTTATTAATTTCATAATATAAACTGACCCTATAAGGACAAGTTTTCACAATCTTTAAAATACACACTTAGCAGAAGATACTACTTTACTGCCAAATAGCACAGTTAGGTATAAAGCAAATTCCTCCAAATCAAGTCATGATTTGCTACTGACTTTTTCCTTAAGGGCAGTTTTGCTGAAGGCATATTTACATATAGTAAATCTTCCTTATTTTTAATGTGTTATAATGCATATAGTCATGCAACCACTACCCCAATCAAGGTTAACATATTTCTGACACCTCCCGAGCTCCCCTTATGAACTTTCTTGTGTCAGCTGTGGCCACCACTGCTGTTTTCCATCTCTACAGTTATACTGTTTCCAGTATGTCACAGAAACGAACTCACATGGTTGTGTGGCCTGTTTTGGCGGCTTTTACTTACTGCATAAGTAAAATGGCCTGTGAGGCCATCGTGGCTGTTGCATTTATCAGCTGCCTGCTCCTCCATACTCCTGAGTGGTATTCCATCTTTTGGACAGAATACAGGTACCAGCTGAAGGACATCTGGGTTATTTCCATTTCAAGGCAATTATTCATACCACTGCTATAAACAGCCACAAAGAAATAGTCACATGGGCCTAAGTTTCTTTTTCTCTGGGATACATAGCTAGGAATTGCACTGCTGAGGAATACAAAAGTACATGTTAAATTTTATAAGAAACTACTTACTGAACAGTTCCCTAAAAGTGGCTGTAACATTCCTGTCAGAAACGTCAGAGTTCCTACTGCTCCACACCCTGCCATTTGTTTTCCCCTCTCGTTTTTAGTGATTGTGGTGGGTCTGGAGAGGTTCAGATCTTTTGACCCTATATATAAGGCCACCGGAAAGGGTTCAGAGTACAGGAGTGGCATAACCACGGTATGTGTGAGACTGACCAGCAGGGAGACTGAGTCAGTGGATGAGCCTGGGTCTGTGTCTGGGTGACGGAGGCCCATATTGGGGGTTCCCCTAAAGGTGTGAGAATCTGATTAGGGTCCCAAATGTGACTTGAGGGAAACCAAGGAAATTGCCTCAGAAGTAATAAATGACCACATAAGCTAATACTGGTAGATAAAGTCTGACACTTGGTTCAGGATGGCCAATCTCACCAGCAGTGTTCACAGTCTTTCTGACACACACCAGGATCTTCATTCCCCATTCATTTGACCACCTGAGGCATTCCTCTCCTGCCCGATTTGTAGAAGTCTAGAGTCTCATAAAAGATGGATGGCCTGCTCAGAATCATTATCTCAGTTTCATAGGAAGGTCACAGTAGTTTTTATAGAACTCACAATTTGTGGTTTGCTAATTTTCTGGATTTAAAGTCATCAACTAAATGTCCATAGATTGAAGTCATAGCAGTGTAAAACCAGATCTGGAGGTAATTGCAGAGATCTTTCTCCCCATTTCTTATTTAGAGAAGGCAATGATGTTCAGAGTATGTAAGTGATATGCCCTGGATTTCATCAATAAAGTTAATATCACATTTCTGGTCCAGGGTCTCAAAAACATCAATGGGAAAGTATGAAGAAATATAAAAACTGGTTACTATATAACCTTCCAGAAAAACATCTTTGTTGTAAAATGCATAATGCTATAGACTGTCTAGCAAACCACATCCTGGCTGTTTTAAGAGTCTCAGCTAAAACATTATGTACCAAAGCATACCAAGTCCTTAGAGTCAGAATTTTTACTATATTAGTCACAGCCTTATTTTTCTAAACATGTATTTGCTTATATCATATATACTGCATTCTTGTTATGAGTATTGTTTTCTCCTCTAGATTACATTCTCTTTTGCTATCAATGCAATTATACATGCACATGTATATATACATATGCATTCATACATGTGTACACATGTATATGAACATAAGCCTAAAATGATTCCTGTGTGTCCTAGATAATTCCATCATCTCCATTCCGGATGAAACATTTAATGGATTACCCAACTTGAAAAGGCTTGATCTGAGCAGAAATAATATCAGCTCTTCAGGCATAGGTCCCAAAGCCTTCAAGGTAAGCACACACACTGGCTTTGAGTAATGATCCATTTGGACAACCTTCCTATACTTGTATAGGAAGTGGGGAAGAGAAGAATAGGGAGTATAGCGTGGAGAAGGGAGGAAAGTAAAGTGTTTAACTTATAGTTTTCTCCCAAATTAAGAGTTTCCTCTCTGATGTCCCTAAACTGTATTCAAGGTTCTGTTGAATACAGGCTCATTGTTTTATGTGTTTCTAGCTGGTTTTCCTATGCTTTACCCTCTGGGCATCACCACCATCAATGACAAAACTAATGTTTGGATTTGTAAAGTAGTTTCCCCCCAAGTATCTGAAAACATGTTGAAATACGGTCTCCACAATACCTGAGGTACTCCTGGGAATAAAGGAGAGCTTATCTGGAAACTCTATTAACATGTTCAGGCCAGCACACAGAGCTTCCTTATTTTGTGTTGTAGGCAAAATCTGATAAAGGAACTTTAGCAGATGGAAAAAATAACTGTGCTCAGAAATAAGTTAACATGGGGATTGGTTGAGGAGAGAAAACAGGGAAAAGCATAGACTAACCCATCAAAAGATTTAGGTTTGACTGAAATACATTTTAAAGGAAAAAAAGAAGAGAGAATCAAGAAATTTCAAGAAATAAAGGGAGAAACAAGAAAAGTTTTTGTGCATAGACAAATATATATCAATAAGAAGCCTTAAGTAACACATACTACCACTAACCCAAACTATCACTCTGGATGGTCTTCTTTCCACTCTGGACTAATCACTGGTCTCTTCTATGCTCACTTTTTGATTCTCTTTCCAATTCTGGGATGGAAGATAAGAGACTTCCAGGTACCTGATGTCCCCCTGCTCCTGTCACATACTCAGGGTGCCTGTCTCATGCTAGTCACCCTTCTGGTAGAACAGCTGGGATTCCTGTACTTTCCTGTAATTGATCAGGAAGAAAGGCACTATCAGAAACTGCTCCTCTTTTTGTTTGGGGGGTCTCTGTTCCACTCCCATACTGTTGGCACCAGACTGTGAGCACTGCTGAGGTGAATCACCCTGTGTGGCTTCACTGGTACCTCTCCACTGTTGGTCATGCAGGCTTGTTTGGATAATGAAGGTGCACATCTCTAGGCAGTTGAAACTGGGGACCATATACAAATAGGTTGTAATAGTTGTTGCATTTAATTTTGAAGAATTTTCACAATAAATAATGTCATTTTATGATTCTTTCTACTTAGTGTAAATAGAAAACTGAGATTTACTACTACTACTTTGAAAGAATTCAAAATGTTATTTCAATTGTTAGTATCCATGACAGAGTCAGATCACTGCATGATAAACTTTGTGTCTATTGTTGAGAAGGTAAAAACATAAGATCTAGCAAAATATGAACAATCCAGTGGCGATGGGAGCTTTTTCCTGCTTACAAAAGCCACGATATAAATACAGGTGAATAGGATACTAAGCCACTGACTGTAGTTCGATGAGAATGCCTGGAAATAAATGCTATTAACAGGATTCATATCTACTTGGAAGGTAAGCCTGAGTAAATAGAGCAGGTTTCTGAGATATTAGTGATACTTCAAACTAACAAACAAATCAGATATCCTATTATACATCTGTGTACAGACAAAAAAGTGATTTTAAAATTTTCTTTTGAAGCGTCTGAAGAAGTTAACGCGCCTGAATATGGATGGAAATAATCTGGTAGAGATTCCTTCAGGATTACCATCTACATTAGAAGAACTTAAAATCAATGAGAACAATCTTCAGGCTCTGGATGAAGAAAGTTTATCAGGTATTTAACACTTGGTTTTAAGATGTGTCTTCTCATAACCTTTCTTCTGTAGTTGTGTAAATATTTTATTTGCAGTGCTGCCAAAAGAATACTTAGTAATGCTTTTTAGGTCACTTTACCATTTATGTTGACAAAATTTATTTTAACTAATCACTAATGGAACTTTAAAAAAGGTATTTTAAATGCACTGTCTTCAAAAAGTACTCCATCATCATGTGTCCTTAACAACAGGTATGTGTTTTGAGAAATGTGTTGTTAGGTGATTTTGTCTGTTGTGAACATCATAGAGCACACGGACACAAACTTGAATGGTGCAGCCTACCACAGGCTATATTGACAGGCCACTGTCATCTATGCAACCTGTTGTTGACTGATCGGTCATTAAGCAACACATGATTGTATAAAAGTATAAAAAAAAACTTGCAATGATTTAGGTTCTCATCATTCACAATGCTGTAACTGAGCTACTAATTGAATTACTAATAAAGAGTCAACCATGTAACGAACTGGCTGATGTTTTGGTGCCTGACAATGATACCAACACAGCACCCTGGCTTGCTGACTAGTCTCCTTTCTCACTACTACATTCTCAAGACATCCACCCACAACTACTGTCACCACCACACATTTTGCTATTTTAACTCATCATGTGTTTGCACAGGAGTGTGATGTATAAAGTATGGGTAAGTGGGCACATAAGTAGGTGTGTGACCATTAGCACATGAGCTCTGTGGCAGTCTTGTTTATGAGGCTGCTCTGACCTTCTGGCACTCATGTATCCATAAGGGACATGTGCCCACAAGGCAAGATGGATAGCTTGGCCATCCAAGGGATAGGCCTCAGGGAGGCTGCCACCTTCTTGCTGTGATATGGTTGGAATCTATTCTTCCCAGGGTCATTTCTGGAACAAGCGGGATAACTGAAGTCATCATAATGTGAACAATAAAAAACAGCATTACATTTAGCTTTTCATGAATTCTAGCTAATGTCTTATATTAGGTTATGTGCTTCTTTAAGACAATGGCTGCCAATTTTTTCTGGTATAGCTCTTGAGGTATTGTGCCCAACACATTATTGGATTTGAAATATATTTACTATGGTAATGTTGGATAACCAAGCTTTTAAAAGAATAAAACAATTCAATTCTTTCCTTTTATTCCCCCAAACTTCATTGGAACAAAATTCTTCTGGTGAGGAGGAAAAAACAATAATGATGAGAATTGCCAAATCTGAGGATTACAGAATTATGGAAAGACTATTTCCAGATGGGCTTCACAGTACACACGAAAACCATTAATGAACACAAATTTTGACGAGTTTTTCATATGGAAAAGGCATTAGAAAATTCAATTTCTAAGTTGAATTCTAAATGCTAGGTGAAATAGGCACAAAAGGAAAACCATCTTGGAAGAACATACTAATGGCTATATGTGAACTCCTGTGAGATCATATGTTATAAAATAGAAGTCCTGATTTGGAAAGTGCTCAACTGCTTCTCTGTACTCTTCTCTCATATGCACAGTACTTCTATATTCCCAGAGAGTCAACTCTGGAGGTCTTAGCCCATACAGGTTGCTAGTGAGGAAGTTCTCAACCGTCATCTCCACTGAGGACGAGTGGGCTCTTAGTCCCATCCCTGTGCTAGCCACTTGGGTGCTAGGTTCTTAGTCCTGTTCTGATGTTGGTCCCTTGAGTGCTGAATTCTTAGTCCTGTTTAAATGATGGCCCTTAGATCCTAGACTCTTAGTCTCATTCCTGTGCCGGCTCTTGGGGTTTGGATTTTCTTGTGACTGCTGCAGTCATTGGAGCTTCTCGACTCCTGAGTCCCGTGCATGTGACCGGTGAGGCTGGCTGTAAGTGAGCAGGGTAAGCCCAAGTATAGGCCACCCCTGGTGCTGTGGCACTGCTCTTTTCCTGGGTGGAAGTCCTGACCTGACCATTAAAGGCTGTTGCTCTTGTGTTATCTCTCTCATGACAGGTCTTCACTCATGATCTTTCAGAGAAGTGGGGAGGTAGGGGCACTCCAGGAAGAGAAACAGCATGTATACCTGTGGATCTGGGGGTGAGAAACAAGACATGGGTAACACAAGACAGTGCAGGACTGAATGTGCCATATGAGGTACAGGATGCTTACACAGGACCCACTGAGAGGTCTGCATCCCACTAAGAAAGGAGGGGGGCTGTGCATGCAAAAAGGAGGGACAGCAAGAGAAATATGGGCATGCTTACAAACATTTTCCGCCTTCACTCTTGATCATTGTGGACCTCTAGAAAAGATAGTGTGCTGTTGGCTACTTGTAATGCCTCTGAGGCTGTGTCATCATGCATGTCCATCCACATGCATGACATGTCATGTCACCTCCCCCACACAAAAATATGTGTTGTGTGTTGTTTCTCTCTTGCTTATGAAATCATGTAATGACCATTAGTCTACTTCTACCTGTCATCAGAAAACCTCTACAACATTCCAAAACCTCAACTATATAATAAACTAGATAAATACGCTGGATTCTCAACATCCTTAGTTTTCGAAATTTAAGAGAAATGCAGAAATATAACACTCATCATAATTTACTAATTTGCCTTCCTACTTCCTGTCTTGTGGTTCATCAACTGATCCTAACCACAACCATCAGATTAATCTGTCATGCTGACCCCACTATGCAGAGAAGGGTAAAGACCCTGCAAAATCTACTTTTGCAACCAGCAAACTTCACCCAGGAACCCTGAGCACACCCATGTGGGTTTTCACACGCATACGTGTGCACCTGGCTGCTCAGCCTCTGTTTCCACCTCCATCTTTTTATCCCCGACAGCCTGACTCCACTGTACTTTCATACTATTCACAACTGCCCTACCTTCTCTTTGCCATCTTCTAGCATCTCTTATCTGTATTCCTCTTGCTTATACTATGCTCTGCTCCTCTGATATGCCCAAGCATAGGAACTGATGTGCACAGAGCATTCGGTGCAATGCCCACAACTTGAGTTCAGTATGAAAACAACCCATGTCCTAGAAATCCTGGCCACTGAACAAAGTCCAAAGTTACACCCTGAGTTTTGACTCACGCCTCTGGGCACCATCACTGCTGAGCTGTCCATTCTCTTTTTTAAAACTTCCAATCAATGTGGATCATACTACTCTTGAAGCCAGCAGAAATAATTTAGAAAAAAAACATGTTTGTATAAAGGCTTCCTTGGTAGCTCAATCTGAATATGTGGAGAATGTTTGACTTTTCTCCCTTCAAAATGTACTTTTGGCTGCATTCTCTGCCAGGAAATGAATAACTGTGATGGGAATTCATGTTCTTTCCCATTGCTGCAACTCCCTGTTCAGAGGCTGAGGGTTCACTGGGCAGAGCATTCTTTTCTGGGTCCTGGAAAGGGAAGCACCCCTTGTAGACAATCCTATCTGTCACCATCATGCTGCCTGTACACGAGCTGTCCTGTAAAACCCTCCAGTGACCTTCACCAAACTGTTACCTTTTGCTTCCCTGTGTGACTGCCTCATTAGGGCTCCCTAACCCTCCTCCCTGTCTCTTTCCCCTCTACTCCAAGCTCTCTTCTCTAACCTCGCCCCCTTTGTACCTTGACTTTGTTCCCTGCCTCTTTTCCCCTATCTACATCCTGACCTCCCTGCCCCCTTCCCTTTGTACCCACTCTTCTTCTTATACCCCCTGTTCCCCTTTGCACCTTGACTCTCCTCCCTAGCTCCCTTGTCCCTCCTCTCTGTATCCCGATTCTCCTTGTCCTCTCCGGCCCCTCTGCACCCAACTCTCCTCCCGGTTTACTCCTCCTCTATACCCCAACTCTCCCCCTTTCATACATCCCCTTCTCTGTTCTGTGTACATACTTTCATTATATAGCATCCCAAATTTCTTTCCACATGCACCTCTCTTTGGCCCATGCATTCGGCATTTGGCTCTGGCTATGGCACATTTGGATCTTGCAAATTGATTAAAAGGCTCGATAGGGGAGTATATAAAAAGAAACTACAGCATCTGTCTTCCAAAGACGCTGAACACCTCATAGGACATTTTGAAAGGGTATAGAAATTGCATGTTTTTTCAATTATCCTAATGTCCTAATAATTTTTTTTTAAATAGGCTTAAATCAATTGGTCACCTTAGAAATGGAAGGGAACAATCTCAGTGAAATCAATGTCAATCCACTAGCTTTCAAACCTCTGAAGAGCCTATCCTACCTGCGTCTGGGAAGAAATAAATTCAGAATTATACCACAGGGTCTTCCTGATTCTATTGAGGTATCAATGTTTTTCTTTATTGTTTTATATTTTAAATACAACGGAAGAAAGCATATATTTTAAAAGATTATTATGAAGCATATTAAACATAGTAGTTTCAGTGCTAATATATAGTGGTTACCATAATTTGAGAACTGCTTTCTTGTCAATCAATACAAAACTATGAATCAAAGTTATAATTAATAGTAAAAACTCTTGATAAAGTGAAATTGTTCCTGTTGAGACTTTAAACAGAAACTACAACTTGTAAAAAGTAGTCTGACATTGCAAGATAGTTTAAACCTATCCAAGCTAGACTCCTGACACTTATCCCAGACTGTTCCATCCAGAGTAGCCATGTGGACTAGTAGGGATTTTGCATGGACAGACCCATTTGCAGAGATCTACAGCTTACCAACTCCAACCAGATCCTACCAAGGGCTCATGCAATGTCCTGTCTATCCCTGCCTCTTGGATATGGGGTCTTCTTTGTTGCAGCAAGGGACAAACAACCTAGAAGGTTCTCTAGGTGGTCTCTGCTATTGACTGAAATGCCCCAACTTCATGAAACATGGACATATGACCAATGGGAACTTAGGGACATGTGTGTGCATGTGTATGTGTACGCGTGTGTGCGCACACACACAGAGCTAGAAGGTAGGATGAGCCTGCTATGAGCCCAAAGAGTAGGTCACCTGCCACAGCCATTGTCCTTCCTCTTCCTCCTATCTGCAGACTGAGATATAACTTTAGAACTTATCAATCAGCTCCAATACCTGGCTTACATTGTTTGGAATCTAAAGAAATACAGATTCCTGGACCTATGCTAAATCAGATTCTTCAGTGGGTAAGGCCTGCAATTTATAATTTAATTTCTTTAAAAATTAAAATTTTAAATAGAAAATGCATACATACCCACTCCTTGAAAATACAAAAGAGTGTATCTCCATCCCAAGTGTGAACTTCCCACTCCTAGAGCCTCTTTCCAGAGCCTGGAGGTGCTGTCCATGCAGGAGTATGTGCTCTGAACCCTTCCAAGGTGCTATCTCACAGCCCCAATTTCAATGCATGGATGAGTATGCTCTGAGGTACACTGAGGTTGGAACTTACATTTTAAAAATCACAAGTGGTCTTAATATACAACCATGTGTGGAAACCAGTAATCTAGTTCATCCTCCTAAATACTATGAAGTTGTAAAAACAAAAGAGCTAAAATTGGTTTACCCATCTGTAACAAATGCCAAAGTTAAATGGCAAAGAATGGGAAATTAAAACTGGAATAGAGAGCTATATTATATAGCTCTCTAATATATGAGAGCTAATATCTCTAATATCTAATATTATATAGCTCTCTAATATGTAAGATATATACCAATTCTCCTGAGTTCCAAAAAAATCCTTTAGTGAGAAACTCCCTCTAATGCCAACTGAATTTAACTTGAAGGCAACTAGCTATTAAAAACTTATTAGCAGTTCTAGCAAACTTCACCGAGTTGTTAAATGAAGGCTTGTAAATAAGCTTTAATAAAATCAATTACAATACAAGGAAGTCCAAAAAAACATGAGCCAAAAAAATAAAAAGAAAAGAAAAAAATTACAAACAGCACAGACTAATGGGAAGCATGCTGACTGGAGCCAGGGGCAATGGGACAAGATTCTTGTGTATCTGACACGTGGCATTGGCACACCAATTGTCTTTCCACTGCTACGTGGAAATGGTAATTCTTAGTGTTTTCTAGGATTCTGAAGCTCAAATGAGATAATTTATGTAAGTTTTTGTAAATTATAAAGCTTTATATAATTATTACAGTATGCTGAATCTTGCAATATTTTATGGTTAAAAATAATAATATAAAATTCACTAAATTCCATAACCATGACAGATAGCATTTCATTATACTCATTAGGAAGTTTGACAACTTAAATAAATGAACTGATACGGAAGAGCAGTAAGGCTCTTTAGATAACACTAGTGAGAATATAACACCATCTTAATCTCTATGAAATGGAATACATTTATTGATTAACAATTAACTATTAAAATAAGTTTTTTCTCTTTATTACAGGAATTGTACCTAGAAAATAACCAAATTGAAGAAATAACTGAACTTTGTTTTAATCGTACCAGAAAGATCAATGTCATTGTATTACGCTATAATAACATTGAAGAACACAGGATTGCTCCTTTAGCCTGGATAAATCAAGAGTAAGTATATGTTGCAAGTATATGTTTACCTTTCTTAGAGGATTCCTTCTCTTTGCTGTTATTAAACAGGGCATAAAAAGGGTGCTATGAGGGAAGTTGAAGGTTCTGAAGGGCTTGTGAGAGCTTCCTTTTCCAGTAAAGTCAAAACTTGGCTACTGCAGTACCCCCTTATCTGTGGTTTCAATTTCCATAGGTTCAGTTATGCTCCAAAAATATTATGGGCAATAAGATATTTTGGGAGAGAGACCACTTTCACACAACTTATTACAATATGTTGTTACAATACTTTCTTTTATTACCTAATTTATAATTTAAACTTTATCCTAAGTCTGTATGTCTAGGAAGGAATGTAGTACACAAAGAGCTCAGTACTATCTACCAGAAGTCTTGGAACATACCCCTGAGGATAAGGAGGGGCTACTGTACTTCATTATATGAGTGGTATTAGGGTTAATGGGGTCACTGTTGCCTGGACACCCTAAAATATGCCATGTCCTGAGTCAGCCAGATCTGAGCAGAGCACTGTGAGCCTAAGTGCTGATAACAGCTTTGTTGGTCTCACAGGGTGGTTCAGGTTAAATGAGATGATCCCCTGTACACAGACAGAAAGGAATGCTCCTCCTCCCCTCACACCAACAGGTAGAAATACCAGGCTTCACTGTGCTACACCACTTTCCTCAGTCACCGAAACCACTTATATCAAGTCTCATGGAACTGAGTGTAGACTATCCAGCTGATGGGGCAAAAGCAGAATCCAATGTCCTGGAGTAATCAGCCACCCTCAGGGAAGGGGTGTGCATGGGACCTTACATGGCAGTAGTAGGAGTCCTGGGACAGAGCCAGGGACACAGTGTAGAGATGAACAGAGACCTCCGGGTCACCTGGGCTCAGCAGGAGGTGGTGGATTGAGGAAGGTGGGGTCTTCATCTGGTGAGGCTTCTGAAATGAGCCAGGAGGCTCACAACATTTCCCAGAGCATGTGGCCAATTAACCACACTTTCTAGATCCCCCAGTCTCCTCCTGTGCCCCAGGTGTGCTGGCCATCAGATCAAATATGGAATGGAAATGCAAATACACCACAACTTCACTATTCCTGCTAGAACTAAAGATCAGTTGGGGATAAGCAGTTTGTTGTCATCTAAGACGTCTGGATTTCATTTCTGATTCCAGTTTGACCCAAGAGATATTTAGGGCCCTCTTGGCCTCAGCATTATGCCCAGATATGAGTTTTTCTCTCTGAACTTGAGCACTCCTCTTTCATGGAGTGTGATATGGTGAGGGCCAATGTGGTGCCGGGTAAGAGTATGAACTGTGGGTCATAGCTGCGCAACTACACACACACACTGAGTGCTGGAAGGAAAGCCGGAAGCTCAAGGTCACTGTTCTGATGTTCTGTCTTTGCCACAGGAATCTAGAATCAATTGACCTCTCCTACAACAAGCTCTACCATGTTCCCTCCTATCTACCCAAGTCCCTGCTGCACCTCGTGCTCATAGGGAATCAGATAGAGCGCATCCCTGGCTATGTGTTGGGCCACATGGAGCCAGGTCTGGAATACCTGTACCTGTCATTTAACAAACTCACTGACGATGGGGTGGACCGGGTCTCGTTCTATGGAGCCTATCATTCTCTGAGAGAATTGTTTCTGGATCACAATGACTTAAAATCTATACCACCTGGGATACAAGAAATGAAAGCACTACATTTCCTGAGGTTGAACAACAACAAGATAAGGTAAATTTTGATTTTTTCAATTGAAAGTGCTGTAGTTGACAAAACACATGATTAAATAACAAAGACCCAATGTCTGAGACTTATGTTAAGGAAAAAAGAAAGCGACAAGAGGTTGAATTAAACATGATTGGGAAATAGAACTGTTAAAGCCAGATGACAGGTTCATGAGGATTAATTTTAGTCTTTTTAAAAATTTTTGTATATTGGGGCCTCCTTGGTGGCGCAAGGGGTTAAGATGCAACCTATGAAGCTATTTGCAGCCACTGTAGCACCAGTTCAATCCCCGGCCAGGGAGCTACCTACATGGCGCAGCAGACCTCTCTTGACTTGCCCACTACTCCCCTCAGCAGCGTATTTCAGTAGATCTGCCTATTCTGTTCCCCACTCTGTCTCTGGTGAATTCTCTCACCCCACCCACAACTCTGGCCTGTACCCCAGTTCCTGTATGTATAAATAAAGAAATCTTTAAAAAAATTTTTTTTTGTGTATTTATGCAAACTTCATTAGCAAAATGTTTAAAAAATAGAGTATGACTATATAACAGTGAAACCTTAAAGACAGAAACAAATGAGATTTAAAGGCAATAGATGGGCCTCCCCGGTGGTGCAGCAGTTGAGCGCTGGGTTGCGAAGCTGCCCGCGGCCTCTGCGGCGCCGGTTTGATCCCTGGCTGCTCCCTGGCCACCGGAGGAGGGTCCCACATGGCGCGCAGACCTCTCCTGCCGCCCGCTGCTCCCCTCAGCAGTGTACTTCGGTCCTTCTGCCTGCTCTGCTCCCCGCTCTGGCTCTGGTGAATTCTCTCACCCTCCCGCGCTTCTGACTGTACCCAGTGCTTGTATAAACAAAAAACAAACAAACAAACAAATAAATAAATAAACATGCCTCTATAAAAAAAAATAAAGGCAATAGATCACGGTGCTTCTCTACATTCATATATCATTTAAAAAGCTCTAATTTGTGGGCCTCCCCGGTGGCGCAGTGGTTGAGCGCTGGGTTGCAAAGCTGCCCGCGGCCTCTGCAGCGCCGGTTCGATCCCCGGCTGCTCCCCGGCCACCAGAGGAGGGTCCCACATGGCGCGCAGACCTCTCCTGCCGCCCGCTGCTCCCCTCAGCAGTGTACTTCGGTCCTTCTGCCTGCTCTGCTCCCCGCTCTGGCTCGGTGAATTCTCTCACCCTCCCGCGCTTCTGACTGTACCCAGTGCATGTATAAACAAAAACAAACAAACAAACAAATAAATAAATAAAAAAAACATGCCTCTATTAAAAAGAAAAAAAAAAAAGCTCTAATTTGTACAGCACAAAGTCTAAATGCATGCCAAAATTAAAGGTGCTTCTAGCTGGATTTTTCTGAAGGCAAAATTCTGAATAAATGTATTAAGACCCAGTTTCCTTCACTTCTGGGGACATATTTTTTTCCTGTCAGTTTTCTGTCTGTGCCTGACCCTCTCCCTGCCTAGGAAGCATGAATGTCTCAAGAACCATTCTGGAAAATCTTGTTTTGTGCTGGCAAGAGTAAAACGGGATTCCAGAGTTCTGTGTCCTGTCCCTAGGGTTATACCCTTGTTCATTTCCTATCTCTAAAATTCCAGAGACACTTATACTCCCAAAACACCAAAGAGAGAAGGGTTCTAAGTTTATAAAAGTACTGGGGAGAGATGGGGGATCTGTAAAATTGAGTTTCAAAATTTTTGACTACAATTTTCTTTACAGGTTGAGTTATACATATACTGTGTATGTTTATTCCACTTCTGGAAATTCTAAAATTTATCAGTGAACTTAGGTAGTCACAGCCTGATATCTCTATTATAAACTTTCTCTTGACCACAGAAGCAGTGGTTTCACTCACAGATGATTGTTGTTTGAATCTTAAGGGTTAAAAAATGATGATTTTCTATTTTTGTAATTCTTTTCACAGTTGTTAGCTGGGATTCATTTCTATAGAACTTTCTCTTATCAACTAGGGCTACTTTGTTTTGTTTTATTTTTTATATTTAAAGAGCAGGTTTATTAGAAAAGGGATAGGATAATAAAAGACACTTGCATACACACCAGATGGCAGGAAGAGCTGCCCCGAAAGGGACAGGTTTGCTAAGAGAAGCCTGCATGGTTGCAGGCAGGGGGCCTTGAGGAGAGCAGCCTCTGCAGAGGGAGGTCAGTGAAGAGAAGCCCCAGCATGGGACAGGTCATGGGCAGGCAAGAAGCTGCTGCCCTGCGAAGGGAGAGAGTTGGTGAAAAGAAGCACCTGCATAGTCACAGGTGGGCAAACGGAGTGCTGCCAGGGCTAATTTGTTATTCTGAAAGGTTAGGTAAACCAAGTCCTTGCCTTTAAAATGCCCATCGAAGTAAAAAGTTTATTACAGATTTGTAACTAGATGACATCTAAGTAAATTTACTGCGGTGGTCATTTGGATATATATATATCAAATCATGCTGTACACTTTAAACAAATATAATGTTTTATGTCAATTATATCTCAATAAAATTGAAAAACGACATACAATTAGACTAAATATATATTAAAATGTTAATAGCGGATGTGGGGGGGAAGGTTAGTGCTAAACAATTTGGCTTTATTCTTTTGTTTTTTGACATTTTTTCTTTCTTTGGAGAATCAACATGCATTTATGGTTTTATATATTAAGGTTGTAATTACTGTTCTTAAACTTAAGCCATCCCTCTATCTGTGGACAGAGCCTCCCTCTGCAGAGTCCCAGCATCCTTCACTAGGCAACACTCTTCATGGCCCCAATATGGTACATTCCTTTCAAACTAGTTTCTAGTGTTTCAAGACCTGGTGGACTGCTAGGAGCTATGTATTTTGTAAAGAAAAAGAATATTAGTTCATACTGACATTCCTAATTCAAATGTAACTATAAAGTATTCCTTTTGTTTTAATCTTGTTTCTCTTATACTGCATCTAGGTTTCTAACAATGTTAGCATAAGTTTGTTTTCTTACAATATTTAAATACCAGCTTCAAAATGTCATCACCATTATTATGGTAACAACAAAAATACTTCATTTTTTACAGTGTTTTTGGTAGTTCTATTTGTCTTTAGAATATGTTTCATGAAGAATGTATAACTGAAATACAGTTTTCTCTATAACAAGATGTCAACAACTTAATATCCATTAGTTAGTTTTTGCTTTTTAGGAATTACTGTTTTCTATCTGAATTAATATTATTTTTACTATGTTACACATTAATGTGATTCCATAGTCAAAACTATGTAACAAGCTATATTGGAAAGTCTTCTGTCCCAGTCCCTCATGCCCTATTCCATCCTTCCTCAAAGGTGAAATATTTCTATTAATTCCAGTATATCTTTTGCAAATGTAAGTATACACAAATACACATATTCATATTCCCTACCCCACCCACAATTATTACATAAGTCATTACACAGATGTCTCACACTCTTTCTCTCTCCTTCTCTCTCTCATATGTTTTTCCTATGTTTAAATTTAATTTTTACAAATTAGGAGTACATCCTGCTTCTCACTCCTATCAACATAGAAAGAATTTCCTCATCCCTTTAACAACTGAATAGTATTCTACTTACTCAACCAATTTCTTATTGACACTTATTCAATCAATTCCTTATTGATACTTTGACTTCTTCCATTCTTTTGCTACTACATTGAAGTTACACACATGAACTTTGTGCAAACATCATTTTGTGCTTTTCCACTCTAAGTTTAGGGTAGATTCCTATAGGTAGGATTGCACATGTAATTTTGCTAGATATTGTCAAATTCGTCTCCATAGAGTTGTACTGTTTTGAATTCCCTCAATGATGATGAACTTACTGCTTTTTTTTTCTTTTTGGTAGCAAATCTGGTGAGTAGTATGCCTGACTAGCTTCAATTTACACTTCTCTTATGAGAAATGAAATTGAGCACCTTTGCATATATACACGTCATTTATTTCTTCTGTTAGCTAGTAACCCAAATATTTTTTTTCCTCTTTTCTCCCTTTTCCTCCCAGGTTTTTAGGAGGTCTTTATATTTAACCTTTTTCTGTGATTAAGTTGCAAATACTTTCTTCTAGTCTGTCATTTGTCTTTAATCTGTTTGTATTCCATTTATTAATTTTTCTTTCAGTGCTTCTGGTTTTTGGTCACAAATAGGAAGATTCTTCCACAGTCCTAGACTAAGATCATGCTTTATTCCAGTACTTCTATGGCTTCATCTTTTATAGTCAGATCTCTCAGCTATCAGGATTTTTTTTCTGGTATATACAAAGAGGATCCCATTTAATTTTAAGAAAAAACAACTTTTTAAAATAAATGTAAAACTTAACTTCTAAGTTATGAAGGCAGAATATTACTTGGATCTTTTGTGACTTGTATATATCTGTTTTTCCTTAGGAATATTCTTCCAGAACAAATTTGCAATATTGAAGAAGATGATGATTCAACCCTGGAACATCTTCATCTTGAAAACAATTATATTAAAACAAGAGAAATATCATCGTATGCATTTTCATGCATAAGATCATATTCAAGCATCGTTCTTAAACCACAAAATATCAAGTAATTTCAAGTTTTCCTTACCATTTCTAAATTGTAGTCTTATATTTATTGCAGAAGCATTTGTCATCAGTAGAAAAGACAAGCCGCCTCATGTTATATTCAGTATCTTTAAGCAGGCAACCAGATCCACCAATCCACAGATGAACAACCAAAAACACAGCTACAAGGTTTAGTCTTCCAGCAGTATTATTGACAGTTACAGTTTCACACCTCTAGAAAGAAACCATTCTATTGCAAGGTTTTTCTCCTGAGAACAGTATGTTATGTGCACTGCAGAGCTAGACTGGGAAAATCTGGAACAACAGACTTCAGTATTACCATGAGTTGAGACTCCCCTGTATCCTTTTAAAAATGTTGTATGCTATGGTTCAAAACCAAGAAGTATATGACAGGGAGAAGTAACAGGTACAATTTGTGAATTAGTGTTTTGTTTATTATTCTATTGTTAAAACAACAGTAAGACCTTAATGCTACAACTATTGTATAAATAGTTATAGGCTTGACTTTGCAGCCTTCTATTGATTACATGTGTGAAATAAAAACACTATTTCAAAGTTAATTTCCAGTTTTTGAGAATTGTACTATGGCATGTAAGTGGTTATTAAAATTAGGGGAGGCTCAGAGCAGGGTGCAAGCAAAACTCCATAGTAATTTTGAGACTTTTCCTTAAGTCTAAAAAGTATTTTAAGGGCCTCCCCGGTGGCGCAGCGGTTGAGCGCTGGGTTGCGAAACTGCCTGCAGCTTCTGCAGCCGGTTCAATCCCCGGCTGCTCCCCGGCCACCGGAGGAGGGTCCCACATGGCGCGCAGACCTCTCCTGCCACCCGCTGCTCCCCTCAGCAGTGTCCTTCGGTCCTTCTACCTGCTCTGCTCCCTGCTCTGGCTCTGGTGAATTCTCTCACCCTCCCGCGCTTCTGACTGTACCCAGTGCATGTATAAACCAAACAAACAAACAAATAATAAATAAATAAATAAGACATGCCTCTAGAAAATTAAAAAAATAAATAAATAAAAAAAAAATAAAAAGTATTTTAAGATCAACCTCACTATTCTTTACTCAGGATCAACAGATTTTATGAAAGCAGCAGCATTTGTTTAAAATAAGTTAATTATCTTTGATTATAACTTGGTAAATGTAGACCCAATGCACGAAATTTTGAAATTTTTTTCTCCATTGGTCATTGTTAATGTCATCTTCTTTGCCCTAATTTACTCAACTGTATCCTTTTATTCAGCTCAATATAACACAAAGCTATTAGTATTTACGATGTACTAGACTTCACCAAAACCATTTAATAAAATTTTCATCATGTAGTGGTCTTCTATCTTATGTGTAAATGACACATATGAAAACTATGCTGACTTCTGCCTGTTATTCTCAGTTTTGTGGCCTGAAAAACACTAGACTAAGAACTTCAGTTCCTGTCTTGACACCTTGGACAGGTTACTACAATGTTTCAAGCTTCAGTTAATATTTTAATAGTTCTCTCCCCATGATCAGAACCTTTCAGCCCCACTTCACAAGGATGTTACGAAGATTGGAGAAGAATGAAAAGCATCTGGGAAAGTTGGAGTGCACAGCAAGTGTAGTTATTATTACCAATCTTTCATAAAAAATTGAGAGCAACAGCACATTCAACTGAAGTTTATTATTTTCTGGGCAATCTTCAAAATGTTAAAGTATGATTCAACCATTTGAGCTAATGTTATTTCTAAGTTCCCTCTCCTAATACCTAGGATTTTGAGATTTCAACATGAACAAGAATAGTAATATGATGAATACTGTCAGATTCAAGGTCAAAGACTTAAGGCAGGTGGCTAGGAACAGAATGACATACAATCTCATAGAACAAAAAGTTGCGTCTGATAATCAGTTTAGCAATGTAGGAGCATTACTAATTTAAGTTGGTCAAGCTGAAAGTAAGGAGCAGATTAAGAACAAGAAAATACAACAATCCATTTAACAAGAATCCTGTACTGCTTTTTGCAGTGTGAAAATAAATGCATCAACATAAATGGTTTAAGGAAATATAAGTGGTAAGCAAAATTAGTGTCAGAGGGGGCCTCAAATGAATAAGGTGAGTCAACAGAATTAGCATCCTGGAATGACAGACTGAGCCATGCCTGCATTCATTCTTCACCCTGACTGTATTCAGCTATTATTGTTCAGATGTTATTCTAGAGATAGGGACAAACAGATCTGCTCACTGGTAATGTATAGTCTGGAAAGGGCAATAAACATGAAATAAATAAGGCAATTAAGCCAACTGCTAAGTGCAATGAAGTCAGTACACAGGGCAGGAATGCAAGAAACGCTGGGCTCCTGGGATGTCTTCTTGAGTTTGGGAGGCTCCCAGGTTCCAGGGCTCAAGAGAGTCCACGCCTCATAAGGCGAAGAAAGACACAGCTATACCCAGCAGCCTTACAGTGAGACCACTGAGATCCTGCAGTGTGTTTAGGACATCCTCATAGGAGCAGAACCTCTAGAAAGGCTGAAAAACAGAATGACTGATGGAGCTTTGTCCTTAAGTTGGAAGATGTTTTTACTTCAATTGATTGTGTCATTTAAAAACATAAAATATGTCCAGTGCTAAACTTGTTCCACCTTGAAATTTCATCATGCTCTGGACAGCATTATTAATTCCATTAAAAAAGTGATACATATCCTCATGGTAAGAATTCTTCATGATATAATACTATAAACAAGCAGTTGTTCTGTTTAGCTTCAGAAATATACTGTAAGTATGCATTTGCACACACACACTAAGGAAGTCCTGGCCTAGCTACATTCTGAAAATATAAACCGCGTGCCATCTTTGTACACAGGTACAAGGAGTGTCTCATGAAAGCCTGGCTTTATTTTTGATACTTGTCTTATTGCAGATAAGAACGTTTCATAAAGTACTTCAGATATGATATGGTAAAAGACACGTGTGGCCTAAAATCATAAGGAAGTAATGACACCAAGAATTAGGACATGACAGGCACATTTTGGTCATCAATGATTGACCACACAGTCATTTAACATTCCTAGAATTAACTTGGTTCAATTATGAAATGACATGTTTGGCGCAGAATGAAGCTTTTCAAATGCAGTTCACTGAGAGTGGGGTGGAAGCATCCCTGAAGAGGAAACACAGACTACCTTTAAATAAAGTAGCTGTACTACTATCACCAAGGGCTAGCTACCTCTACCCTACTTTTTTCTTAGAACCAGTGGACAAGGTACTATCTAAATTATATACCAAGTTGCAAAATTCACAGGGAACATGCAGTCATAGTCCCTGTCTGGTAATCCTCTGCCCCTGTCCGGTAACTCTGCTCAGCTCCCCTGCACTCCTTAGGTGCATAGGTTGCAGCCTCCTTGCACATGCCAGGGCAGGAATTTTAGTGGGTGTATCTGTTCAAGTCCCAGCCCCATGGTAGGGGATCAGCTCTGAGTAGCTCTCTAACAAACTCTGCTGACCTCTGACCTAAAACATCCTGAAAGGTCAGTAGGCTGAGCACTGGTTCTGTAGGACACAGTGCTGCAAGATGCAGACTGGGCTCACACCCTCCATCTCTGCCAAGCCCTATGACTTCCTGTGCAGCAGCTGGGTCAGGACACCAGGGTGGTAGGTTGCACTCAGGAGCAATAAGGAACATATATTTCCCTGCTATTCCAAAGTAGACCATTCCTAGTTGGTGTAATTTTTTTTTTGTCTCTGGAACACTCAACAATTTTTCCTAAATTAATGCTAATAGTGTTCCCATACCCAAAGGAACACTATTTTTGAATAGCAGGGGAAAGCAGTACATGCTTGATTCTGGACTTCATCTGCGTCTTCTGCCAAAGTCTGATAAGCAGAAAGTCTAACAGTGGGGCTTGTGAACCTCTAAATTCTAAGGGCACAGGGACCCTGGTGTGGGAAGTATTACCCATAAGGGTGAGGAAGACAAAACAATCTCTTGTATAGTTTGCATTGCCAAATCACTCCACACACTCCACTGACTGAGAGTCAGTCTTCTGAAGTCAAAATTAATGACAACTTAATAGAACCACTTTTATTACAATGGAATAACCATCCAGGGGCATTGCAGCTGAGATCTATGAGTAGTGTCCCCCCAGTCTGCAAGGCTGCACTAGGAAGAGAGGGGTCAGGATGGTTCCCGCTCACACACAGGGTGTGGTTAGTCCCATAGCTGCTCAGTACTATATAGTGTAAACCTTTACATTCATGGGTAAGTGAGGAAAAGAGCACCAACACGCAATTTCAGGGATGGCAAAGAAGCCATGAGCACTGCTGGTTTCCACCTGACCTCAGCCCTTGGTGTGACCCCAAAGAGCCTGAGAGGAGCCACGCCTGCAAGTCCAGTTCCTTGGCTCTGGGTGTCTGTGCCACACCCCAGCAACAGATCTGGTATTATGACTTAGGTCTGAAAGTATTTCTTCGCACATATGGGGCGTTGCATGGTAGACAGGTCGGGGGGTGTACCCTGTTTCTGGAAAAAGACTGTAAAACTTAGAAGAATAGAGACAATTAATTTCTGGGATGCCAAAATGACTGTTGATCCTCAGTTTAAACTGGATGAGTTCATGAATTGTCCAAAGTTGATATTAACATTACTCCTAAACAAAACAGAAAGGAATCTGAAAAAAGGATTTTAAAGTAGGAGTAAGAAATTGAATTAAAAAGATTTACGTGAAATCTTTTTTTCATGAGTTGTCCAAAGTTGATATTAATATTACTCCTAAACAAAAGAGAAAGGAATCTGAAAAAAGGGTTTTTAAAGTAGGAGTAAGAAATTGAATTAAAAAGATTTACATGAAATCTTTTTAATACATTTTTCTTATGACTATTTCCTGACTGGGATGTCAGAGAGCAGGCAGAGTATAGTCTGTTAAACAATGAAGTCATGTGTTGATAACTGGTAATACTTTGTAATCAACTGACTGTTCTGCATAATAGCAACACTGACCATGTTTTGCTAAGCCATCAGTTAAACATACTAAGAATGACTATGTTCACAGATGCTGACCTAAAAGAATGAAAGACTCAAATTCTGCTACTTAAGTGGAACTCCAAAGGGCTAGGGCAAGCTCCCTATGATATCTATTACCCCTCTTTCCTTTATTTAGCAAATGGCTAGGAAGCTTCCATATGGGAGACAGACTGAAGATGTCCGTCCATAGCTGGATTCAGATCCTTATCAACTTAAAAGACATGAAGTACCCATGGAAATAGGCAGAAGTTTCTGGGTAGCCCCAACCTATACCAGACAATTGCAGGGATCTTAAGCCCCAGATGTCTATGAAACATGAGGTCTCTCTCTTGTAGTTAGAAAACAAGAATGAATATTGTGGCTCTGGTCTGGAACCCCTAGCAGCTGTGGACATGGCCAAGTTTACTTAGATTCTGATTTCCAGTTTCCTTGCCCATAAAATTAGGGGGAACATCAACCTCCCAAGGTTCGAGGTTACATGAGGTGATGTCCATGACAGTGCTGGCACAGGCAAACTTCCGACACAGTGCCTTTCCTACATCCATAGGCATCTGGACGCCAGCAGGCAAGATTCAGTGACTTGTTCAAAACTGTCAGGGCTCTTAACTTGGTAGATATTAATTATTCAAGGAAACTGATTGCTTAGATTGCGAAATACAGTGGGGAAAAGAGTGGGTCTATTACACCATGCCAGTAGTAAGGAGCTCCGTAGAGCTTAATGGCATCTCTGTAGGATCACTGCAAGCTCCTATCCATTGTGTAGAGGAGAAAAGCCAGTGCAGGATGTACTTCAGCAGCACTTCATTAAGGCAGAGCAAAGCTGGAATTCAGAGTCTAAATCACTTATCTTCACTGGCATGGATGCAGTTTAGAAGCACATTAAAAAAAAAACAAACAAACACCTGATTACAAGAAAGTAAAGTCTGATTTACAAATGTGATTACCTGTAACACCTAAAATGGGGGGAGGGGGTATATTTAAAATATTTAAAATAGTCAGCCAAACTAGAAGACGTGATCAGTGCACCTGTCCTGCAGATAGATTCACCCATCTGTACTAACCTGGCCTGAGTGTGTGGGCACTGTGGCCTGCCACAGTGAGGTCTCCCGAAGCATATCTCAGGCAGATGGTCTCCTGGCAAGTTTCAAGTATCTCATTACTGGTCTTGACTGTACCTAATCCAGCAGATCCAGAGACATTTGTAAAAGATTTTCAGAGAAACAGATCTACTATAAACATAACAGTCACGTGTCAGTGCACGTTTGATCCTGTATAATTTAGACAATGCTTTGCACACTAACCTATTGCTCACATGTCGGCTGCTATGGCTAAGACCATAAGCCATGCAGGAATTTGGTCTGTCACACACTGTTATTCACAAAGGAGTGAATGACTCTAACTTGGTAAATAGAGCTTAGTGATTACACAACTAAAAAATAATGAAGGCATGACTATTTCTTTGAAGTTAATATTCTCTTTCTACATGAAAATGGATAAAATCAAAATTCACAGTCTAACATATTTTTTCCTTTGCACAAAATGTGAAGAATGTGGATCTACACAAGGGAAAGCAGATTGTATTAAAAATAACATGTGATTGTACTAAACACATACTAGCTTGGAAAAGAAAAGGAATACATCATGTTATTAAAATGTCATGGTGTGTTTCTAAGTAACAGAATCTCTGTGGCCAAATAAACTTACATTAAACTATCAGCTGATATAAGCGAATCTTTTCATAAGTTGGAATCTGCTGAAGTTTCATTTGTTTTACATAAGTTGAGAATTACATTCACAATACCAAGTTTATATGTGAACTGTTTGAAAAGTCAATTTAACTAGTTTTATGATACACAGAATAAAGGATGCACTATAAATTGTGAATCTATTCTAGGGTAAAAGTTCTTTAGCATTTGAAGGATAGACTTCTATGAGGGTATCATAAAAACTATGATGGACCCTCTGTGGAGAAAAATACACATATACAAACATTTTGCATGTATGAAGAGAATATAAAACTTCCCAAATGTCTAGGGATACTAGTGCCTTCATTAAGAACACCTGTCTATGGTAACACCTTAACCTAAAATAAATTTTGTATGTAAACATTTCACTAACATTAAGGATAAACGAAGAGTTAACATTAACTTAAAGCAAAATGTCATGCTTTCCTTCCCACAGCTGTTTAGTATCTATTCTCAGGTTTATTTAGCAATTATTTTTAAGGCCATACAGAAATTGAAAGAATGATACATCGAACATCTAAATACTCATCACCTACATTAGCCAATAATACTCTGTCATTTATTTGATCTCTTTCCATATCCATGTCTACACATATCTACATAATTATATGTATACCTGCAGAGGACAGATCATTTGAATGCAAAGTGCAGATATTGTAACATGTCACCCTGACACTTTAGTGCATTTCTTAAGAACAAGGACAGTTTCTTAAATTGCCATGAGGTAATTATCATATTCTTTCACACAACTGAACCCAAGAAATTTAACATTTCAGTATTATCTAACACATAGTCAGTACCAAATTTTCCCAATTGTTAAAACAATTTCCTAATCTGTTGTATTGCACAGGTACATGGATTTGTGCATGTGTGCAGACACATGTATGTGTGTACATATGCAGAAGTGTGTACCTACATGCATGTATGCAAGGTTCAAGGTATCCTTAGAACTCACATACTGACCATTTATCTCCTGCAGTCAAGAAGAGCCAGACTTTTTGAATTTTGAAGGGTCCAAGCCAGTTATTTTATAGCATGTCGCCTAATCTACTTTTGTTTGACTGCTCCCTCAGGATTACACTTACATCAAACATTTGGGCAAGAATTCCATGTAAGTGATTATGTAATTCCTTTTTGACATAAACTGTTAGGACGCCTGTTACTGATAATGCTGAGACTTGGTTCTCCTTGCAATTCAATAATCTGCAAGATAAGAATTTAGGTATCTTGTCATTTAACAACCCTTTACTTACTGGTTTTAGTTTCTTTGTTAATCTTTGCCTAAAGCAGTTATTACACTGGCAATTTTCCAGCGGTGACTTTCCAGCCCTGTTTTTTTTTTTTCTGTTGTTGTGTGTGTATGTGTGTCTGTGTTTTTGTTAGTGAAATTGCTGGTGTTTTTCCATACGAGCTCTGGCCCTTCCACCCCTTTTCTCCATCATCCTAAACAGGACTTTGTCCTGGGCATGCTATAGTCTACCACCAACCCTATTCTTTTGTGCTCTAAATGTACCTTCATACTAGTCCTGCATTCTGCTTGTTAGTCCATAGCAACACCTTGGTCATTCTGAACAACCCATGAAATTGTAATCATCTACTCCTTTCAGAAAACTTTGTGTCTACTATATACTACATATAAACAGTGTTACACATAAAGAACATATATACTTATGTCCTAGGAGTCAATGGCCCTGAACTTTCTTCAACATGTTGCATATTCCTCAGGGTTTATCATCTTGCTTTCCTCCACAGCACCCACACCAGAGTCCTGTAGCTATGATAGCTACACTCAAGAGGGTGTCACCCCTACTTCTCACCATGGGGGTTCCATCATACAGAAATTATCTCTACAGTCCTCTTCAGTGGTCTCCGCTAGGTTTTAGACCACTGCGCTACACCAGGAAAAGATCAAGAAATTATCTCAGAAGTTATGTGTGAGCTTAGCTTAAGCAATTTATTTTTATTTTCACCACGGTTAGAATATAAGGTCATTAAAAATGTTCTGTTTAAATTCCTTTTATGGTAGATCTGAGGCATACAGCAAGGGAGGGAGAGGAGTCAAAACAGAGAGGGAAGAGAACAAGAGGCTATGGTGATGGGTCATGGGTGCTATGGTGGTGGGAGAACTACAGGGACTACACCTGAGGGGAGAATTCAAATACTGCACAAAAATGGACAATGATATAAGAAAATAAATTTAGAAACAGAAGAAAAAATTCCTTTTATGGTAATCAATGTTTCTGTTCAGAAAATGTCAGTACAGAGCAGTTTTTCAGTTCTGCAATTTATCTTGTTGATAATATAATAATATGCAAGCCATTCCTGATTCTTAAAGATATTGCTTAATATAGTAAACTAATTCTCCATCATTTAGACCAAAACCTAATAAAACAAAATTTAAACAATAAAAACAAACATGTAGAAAAAGAATTAGGAACCAAAGTTGGAAAATTTTTCTCTTCACAATACATTATTATTCCTTTTTGTTTTTAATTTAGAGATGTTTTTAACTTCAGGGAAGAGGAGGAACATGATTGTGTTTGAAATGACAATTTGCAAAGGTGCAGTTTCTTGCCAAATAGTGTATCTGTGCACCTGGCCATCTCCACAGCTGTGAGCCAAAGATCCCCACCCCATGACCCTCAGACTGTGGGAGGGGGTTTGGAACCTGGCCAGTACCTCTACTCACACAATCTGTGGAATCAAATACATCACCCGCAGCCCAGCATTATACTCCAGGGCCTATTTCTTTCCCCAAGAACTTAGACCAAAGATCAAAGCAAGATGCTAGAGGAAGACAAGCTGAGGACTTACAGTAGGAAGAGGAGAAAGCAGCTGTAATCCATATTTTGTTTCTTCAGGCTCTCTAGAAAATTGAAAAAAATCCAGAAAGACATGCAGATTCACAGACCAGAAAAGAGGGTCTTACCAAATGAGTAGGGACAAAGATCAAGGGGTTGAAACACATCGTGCTGATAGGAAGAGCCCCTCTCAGCCCAGTTGGGTGCTGTCTGGCAAAAACTCACATATATTTCGAGAGAGGTTGAAACTTCATGATTTTTAAATATAGCAATTTCACTTAAAACACACACACACACAAAATAGGAAAAAGAAAACAACAAAAAAATGCAGACATATGGGCTTCAAATGGTAGATTAAGAATTAATCCAGGTAAATACACACACCTATATAAAATGTATAATTTGAAGCATACTCATACAATAGAATACAATGTAATAATGAAAATGAACAAAAGATTGCTAACCACAAGGACATGGAAGGATCTCAAAAATCTAATGTTAAATGAAGACAGAGCCAAACATAAAAGAGAATGCCCAGTAGGATTAATTTACATAAAGTTAAAAAATAAGTCTGGTGTCCAGTTAGGCTGGCTTCTTCTGAGGGGTTTCTGAGGAGGCTCCCAGATATTGGAATCTCTCCATGAGGGTTGAGTTAGTGAAAATTAATGCAGTGGTACTATTTTAATGTGTTTCTTCTTTATTTTTTTGTAATATATACTTCAGCTAATAGTTAAAAAACAAAACATTGTGCAGGATATAAAGAAGTTGGCCTCAGGGTTTCCTGTTTCCATCCTGCTGCTGATGGAATGTGGGTCAATAACATAAAGCTCAACTTTTCTTCATTTCATCAAGGTAACATTTTGCATTAAACATAACTGTAAATGAGAACATGAGTATTCTAACCACATAGGAGAGGACAACTACTACCTCTCAGGGCTTGAAGCTCCCTCCAGCCAGTCCTATGGGCCTATGCCATGTGGGCTGACTGCCCTGCACATGAGGAGTAGCTCTCTCCCTGGCTGCCACTGCCTGGAAGTGCCATTTCTCTGGAAGATAGGAAGAATAAACAAATTCCTTACAGCAGGAAGTAACAGACTCTGCTAAACAATGAAAATGGCTATACACAAAGGCTGGTGTCCATCAGGAGGATCCACTGGAGGCAACTTGTACTGGTAAGTCTTTCTTAACTATTGTTGAAAAATGTCCTCTCTCAGGATGATATCTTAGCTGCTATGGGAGTTGGTACTGTCTGGGTAGTGAATGGGGAAGGATATGCTAACAATGATTTTTCCTGCCCCAAGTTCTCCCAAATATTGTGTGGTAACAGCTGATATTCTCTTGATAAGGCATTCCAAGTGGCATCACCTGGACCTGCATTATCTGTGTGTACCAGAGCATAGACACTGTGGCCTGGTCTCCAGCAACCCAGACAGGCCTATAAGGGCTAAAAGCTGTCAAGGACAATCTGAAGACCTTGGCTTGTGTCACAGCATCAGTCATTTGGAGAGAACAAGACTATGGTTTCTTTCTACGGTGCATCTGGATTTATACTTCGATAATGTCAATACTCTTTATTAGGACTGACAAATAGTTTATTATTATTCTAGTGGGGCGAGAGATTTTTGAATTTGTAATTTATAAGTACTCAATCATTTAAGAATTTCATCAAGTATTTTTCAAATCAGGTATTTCTTGAATGACTCTGGCTGTACTTTCAGTGGCTAGTTGCCATGCATTATTAAACTCTCTTTTTCTTCTGAATCTTCCAGTAGACGTCTAGAGTTTAGCTAGAAGTCTTGGCTCTGATACAAACAGTGATGGAAAACACATGAGCAGTAACAAGTTTTAATCTAGCTCCTCAGTACTAACATGGACTAATCTGGAAGCAGCTGCTCCAGTGTCACCCAGGGTGCAGCTACCCCAGGCTCTGCTAAAGGGGTTTTCTTTCAAATACTACACCTTCACATCTTTTTTAATGCTACTTAAGTACACTGCCATTACAGATAAGCAGTACATGGTGGAAAATTCTACTTTCAAGAGGACTAACTTGCTCTCTTCACACAAGGTATGTTTTCTTATACCAATGTATAAATATTTTATAGAAATACTAAGGGGAAGTGAATGTTATTAACATAAATGTTTATAAAGTTTATCTGTGTAATTTCTTAAAAATCAGCATTTAAATATCTATCAACCTAAAATTACTCTAGCTTCTATGTTTTATTATTTTCAATATAGTTGTAACTTTCTTTTTATAGCTAAGTGAAAATCTGTCATTAATTATCATAAATATTAACATGATTTATTTTGAAAATCATTTAAACAAACATCTTATGAGTATGTTCTTTCAGGAAAATAACATTACCTTAATAGTTAATGATAATAATGTTTGGTGATATTATAAGAAACAGTAAATATTTCTTTCAAAATGTAAAACTATAATATTTTCTAGTGGGTATTCAAATGTCATTTTTACTGACATATTTGAGTATTCATATTTTTTCTGGATAAATGCCTTCCTTATTCTTATGCAATAAAATGGCATGAGTTAAAATAGAAATCCCTATAATTCCAAGAAACAGTATTTATCAACAATAGCTTAGCTTTCCACTCAATGTGAAAGATTAGGAATTTCTCACAAAAGCCAGAGTCAGAATTTAACACCAAAGTTTTCTTAGTTTTCTCCCAAAGTAAGTTTCTTACTAAATCTTAGATTAAAAGAAAATTAAACAAAGTATTTGACATTCTACTTCTCTGTAACCTCAGGAGAGCACATCATTTTTTGTTGTTACTCTATTCAGGGGTGTGGCAGCCAGAAACAGTGTCCACATGGTGTAGGATTTAAGTCACAAAGAAGCCCGATGGGGCCCATATCTCTCTCAAAATAAAGTGCTTTAAAAAAATAAAAATAAATCATAAGCCTACACACATGTGAAAGCATCTTAACTTTTTTAGTTTGATCTTGATGTTTTCTAAGAGTGTATGGTGGGAAGGAGGGATCTGCAGTCCTTACTGCCACTATGCACAACAGGAAAACAAATACTCAGACACAGGATCTGTGAGACAGAAAGACATCAGTTTTATAAGCACAAGTTCTTAAGGAACTGAAGGAAACTGAAAAAAAGGAAGAGGTAGTTTTTTGCTTTTGAAGATAGCAGCTAGGTTGCTAGATGTACTGAAAACTGACAAAGGACATGATTGTTATATAGGAAAAGCAGCTAGCAAGTTCTTTAATCAGATACTATTTATACTAAGATAAAGTTAATTACTTCTTTAAGGGAAAAGTATAGTCTTTAAGAATATCAGTTTCCATAACCAAAAGTACTGTGGATACGTTTCCAAATGCATGTTTGGACATTGAACCTGCCTGCTCATTTACAAGGCTGTGTCTTATTGCTCTTGAATTTTGTCTGGATTCCTTCTGAGGTACTGGGTGTGTCATATCTTATTTATATAACAAAATCTACTACTGGTACTTGTGAACTGATAGGAATATTTAAGCCAAGAGAAAAAGTTGCCAAACAGACCTTTAAACATGGGATTTAAAAGCATAGGACTGATTTTCCTTAATAGTCTCTGAGAGGAAATACCATTTCACTTACACACTTTTTCCATTCTATGTTTGTGGAACACTTAAGTGGAAAATGGACCTTATACAAAATCAGAAAGACTCTTTTTAGCTACATTCCTAGTCCTGAGAACCTAGTCAAACCTTTCACCTAGTCATCTCGTCGGAGAGGTTACTGTCTGGAAATCCCATGAGATGAAACCCCATCTGGAAGAGGCTGTACAGCAGGGTGGATGGTGCAGGAGGGACGCTGGCCTTGTTGTTTCTGCTATATAAAGAGGTCACTCAAACAGTCTCAAAGGCTCGAAAATGCCATGATTTATTAGTATCAACAGTAGCACTGAAATAATATTCCAAATATTCTGGTTAAGAGAAACCTGAAACCAAAATCCAAAGCTTTCCATGAATAATAAACTCTGGCAAAACTGGTTTGTCAGGGAAATAATCGAGTCTTCCTAAGAACAAGACATAAATATTTTTAAAGGTTTTAAAAATAACAATCTAAATATTGCCCAAATGAATAAACAAGAGTTTGAATCAGGTTAATAAACTCCAAATTTCAAAATACAACTAAAAGTCACATCATTTTCAATGAGAAATAATTTTCTCTATATTTTACCTGAATAACAGTAAAATCACTGCTATATAGTGTTCCCTTCTGCACATTCCATTCCAGTATTTTTCTACTGTAAAAAACGGCTCTACTTAAATAGGTTGCAGTTTGGGATCTACAATCACATGCACATAATGAAGACTTTATCATCATGTCAGAGGAAGGGTATAAATGGTGAATTCCTCATAGAATCAAGGTTCCCTTTTCTAGCAATCAGGGTACATAAGAGAATGCAAAAACTTATACTGATGTTATATGGCCAACAGAAGGCAGAACTAGCACAGTGTGGAGAATGTGCCAGTAGGATTTTCTGGTCTTGATATAAAAAGTTTCCATCAACCACAGATGGATGGCAGTGGCACCAGATGTCCCTCAGGAGGTGTGCTCTCTGCGATTTCTCACTGCAGCCACGTGGAGAGGAATGCACTGTCTGATCCAGAATGTTCTGGGGGAACCTCCAACACTGAGAGGGAGTTTCTCCAGATGCATGTCCTCTCACTCACCAGGGAAGGGTCAGTAGGGCAGGGCAGGTAGATGAACCCACCAGCCAGTAAACCAAAGCCTCCCCAAACTCCCAAGAATAGCCACACTATCTGCACGCCAGTCTCCCTCCATAGAAGCCAGGGAGGGTCTTGGGTAGGACTCAGTCTAATAAAGAAGAGAGGGGGCTGGGAGGGACAACACAGATGTTCCTCTTGATCCCCAGGGTGGGCTGGTCAGCAGCCCTCTTTCCCTCTCAGTTCCATGTGCTCAGACCCTGCTCACACTGGGTCCTACTGCAATTGTTGCTTTCTCTGCTCCTATCCTAGCCTCTGCCAGGTCATGGCAGGGTATGCAGGCACCTGGGGTTTACAGAAGGAGCTCAGGGGCATCATCACAGCTGCAAAGTCACAAGGAAAGCTGAGATGTCCTCCTCGACTTCCCACTTTGGATCCCTAATATATTCCTCTTGCTAACTATAATTTTAAAGTTCTGTGTTTTTTTAAAGTTGATATTCCAGGTATATCATATGTTAAATAGAATTTTCTGGTTTAGTCTGGTAACCCACAGCCCTACATCTATCTCTCAAAATAATATCTAGCCTATATTTCAAAGTTTCCAAAAGAAAATACTGAAACTTAAACAACCAATCAATGTAAAAAGTAACTTTTTATTAAAATCTTCATTTTCCATGAAATGGGAATAGGGCTGGGCCTCAAGAAGTTGTGGGCCCCAAACAATTTCCCAGGTAAGCACTGTTCTTTGACTTTTGGGGGGACAGTGTATGAGAAACCTTTGATTGTACCAGCTATTTAATGCTATGAAAGTAGTTGAAAAATTAAAACTATTTGGAGGACCAACACAAATAAAATTTTGTTGGCAGACGAATACTTAAAATATTAAAAAAAAAAAACCCACAGTTATTTAAAAAGTATGCACCGAAGAGGAATATAATCCTTCACTTAATCACCCAACAATAACCCTTACTAAGTATGTTTATTCTACTTCAATCATTTTTCACATGCATGTGCATTTTTATAAGTCTTTATTTCTATTAGACTAGTAAATGGAGGGTTTTGGGGAGTAGACAGGTTTATGGTAAAGAATTTCACTTTCCAAGTTCTGGGAACTAAATTACTAGAGATTCTTCCAAACTGCTAAGGGTAACAGTGTATACAGTTGGCACTGTCTACTTGCAGTTTAGTTCTATTTACTAACTTAGGCATTCATTTTTTTTATGTCTTCAATTAATGGATCTGACATTCAAGAATTAGCATTCGCAACTGTCATCTCCCCTGCTATCCTCACTGCCCCCCTCCCCAAGTTACTGATTAGGAGCAGTGTTTTGGTTTTTGAATCGGGAAGTATGGAGAAAAGTGGCTAGGGAGGGTGTCACTGGAGAGTGGCCAAATGTGCTCTACTTCACAGATTTGGCATCCTAATACCGTGCCTGGGACATAGTGGTACTTGATAAATGCCCAACAAAAAACCCCTGCAACCTCAAACAAAACTAGAGACAGGACCTCAAATGCACTTCAATAGCTCTCATCAAAGTGAGACAAGGTCAGCTAGAAGACAGAACTGTAATGGAAGAACAACATAAAAAATAAATTGGTACCAGGGACAAACTAAGGATCAAGAATTGAATTAGCTAGGAAATGAGAATTTTGGAGGTCAAGGCAAAAGTGGAAACTAAGTTTTAAGGAGCCAAGAACCACACAGAAGCCTAAGGTCAAGAAATGTAATGGATCAAAGCAAGGCAAACAGTCAAGAGGAAGATAATGGGCCAGAGATGAAGTGATATTGAAAATGAAGCCCAGTCAACCGTAACCACACATTTATGCCAGGATTCCAGGGTAACTAGAGTACAGAACCCTAACCTTGCTTGTCCCCTGGGTCAGCCTCCAGAAGCTGCTGCATCCTGAGTCACCAGCACAATCTCTATATGTACAGATCTGGCCATACAACCACTCCTGCTTCTGTTCTCTAACTGCATACATGTCCTTCTGTACAGATGTAACCGGATGATAGCCTGTGGATTAAAGGGGAAGGTTGACAGTGTGCATCCATGAGGCCATTAGATTTTGGGCTACAAGAGCAGAGAGTTCCCAAGTGGGCTAGAATGGAAAGAAGTAGAGAACAGATGTTGGGACACATGGGATCCTGTGACCTCGATGAAACCACTTAAGGTTTCTATTGCTCCCATTCCTCTTGTTTCATGTGAGGGATACATATAGATAAACTACTTTTGGGTAGTGTAGAGATGGGAGGCTGGGGCTGTTCTGAAGTGGGATTCATAAGAGAACAGTTAAAATGTAAAAAGCTGTTGCCATTCTCACATGTCAGTAATCTCCTCTTTGCTAGCACAGTTGAGTGTGGGTTATCACAGGAAACCTGAAGGATCTGCCCAGAGTTATCTAGCCACCGAGTGGGCAAAATATTCATGCTACCATATAGATTTCTAAGAATTAAATAATGTCAGGGCCTTCCCGGTGGCACAGCGGTTGAGCGCTGGGTTGCAAAGCTGCCCGCAGCCTCTGCGGCGCCGGTTCAATCCCCGGCTGCTCCCCGGCCACCGGAGGAGGGTCCCACATGGTGCGCAGACCTCTCCTGCCGCCCGCTGCTCCCCTCAGCAGTGTACTTCGGTCCTTCTGCCTGTTCTGCTCCCTGCTCTGGCTCTGGTGAATTCTCTCACCCTCCCGCGCTTCTGACTGTACCCAGTGCCTGTATAAACAAACAAACAAACAAATAAATAAATAAAAACATGCCTCTAAAAAAAAAGAATTAAATAAATAATGTCAATTAGGTTAATAACTGATGGCAGTAGGAATTTTTAACCTTCCTCTGATGATAAAAAGACATCACATACAAATGAGTATTTTAATCAAGTCATGCATTTCTGACTCCTAAGTCAAAGAAGGTAGTCTGTGGAGACACTACAGCTGATTTCTGGGTTCTGGGAAATTATAAGTAGATGGCATGAAGCAAGTCTTGCTTAGGCTAGACCAAATCTGGCTGCTTCTGAAGTCCTTCTCCACTCAGGTGCCATCTGCTACCCAGGCACAGTAGGTCAGCTGTGTGGCTGGGGATATGTGGGCAACTTGCTAGGACGTAACCTCACCATGGATATCTGTGTAGAGACAGCTGCATGTCCCAAAGAGAACAGTGGCACAAGTCTGTTTTACATGATTTCATAATATTTTAATTTTTCAAAAATTTCAAAGAATGTTTGTTTAAAAGGTGATGGTTAAGAAACCAAATAGGTAAATATGACCAGCCATGACAGCAAATCTATGCTCAAGAGGATCATGTGTGAACATTCCAGTTGTGTGGACTTTAAAAAATACAAGTGAAAACAAATCCTGCAACCCCTGTCTTCCCTCCAAGTCCCCCAACAGACAACTCAGATGAAAGATGAGTAAGACAGAATAGTCTGGACATCAGATGCTTTGGATCAGGTATCAGACAATGGAACAGATTAGAAGGAGAACATCCAAGTGACAGTGTGGAAAAAGTGATCAGCTCTGACAGTGAGGCTAGGCAGGATGGTGGGAGAAAGCAGTTAACTAAAGAAAGCTTCCAAATGTTGAGCCAAGGGAACAGAAAGCGTGACATAGATAATAAAGTAATGGAAGGACTTTGTGAATAGTCAGATATGATAACCTATTTTTGTTTTTAAAAGCATTTATTAGTTTCCTAATGATAAAAGTAGTACTTATTGCTCATTATAGAAATTAAAGAAAAAAAAGAAGACATAAGTCCTTCATGATCCTACTATCTAGAGATTATCATCAATTAGGTAGAGGCTTCCCCCATATCCAAAGTACATTTACACTTGGTTTGATTTGGTAAGTTATTTTTTGAGGGGTCTGATACTGTTCAAAAATTTTTCCATATAAATTAATGGTAACAGTGTTCCCAAGCCTCAAAAAATAACTACCAAGTCATTCCAAATAGGTACATACTGCTTTCAGATAATGTGGGAAAACTGAATATTTGTGCCAAGTTTTATATTTGTAAGTATACAAAGTATACTATGTACATTTTTTTATATTTTTTAATTTCAAAAAGTTATTTCATATTTTTATTTCATACTTTTAAATGTCTTTGCAAATATTTTGTGGTTTCCAAAATATTTCAAGAAAAATTATTATTGTCTTTAACCATTAGTATTAACTTTACTATTTTTGCTATTATAATTTTGTGATGAACATATTTATGCACATTAAAATTATTTCTGAGACGAGATTCCAAAATGTAGAATAACTGTATGAAAAACAGACTTCTAAATCTTCCAATTTTATTTCAAAATTGCATTCCAAATCTTTATAGTTTACTCTCAACCTCGCAAAGGGTATGAATGCCCTTTTACTGTACAATTGTCAGCTCTGAGAAATGCACGGAAATGAACAGATGTTTAGATGTTAACCGAATCCTTAATGTCTCCTTAGTCATAGACTGGCCCCCTACACCAGACAACATGAAGGGATGTGTGATCCTAGTGTTCGTGGCTTTGTGCTCTGCCAAACCCTCCTTTCCCCCTTCGTACCTGACGCTGAAGAATATGATGCTGCAGGACATGGAAGACATAGATGATGGTGACACTGATGCTGACAACTCACTTTTTCCAACAAGAGAGCCAGTTAACCCCTTCTTCCCATTTGATTTGTTTACAACATGTCCATTTGGATGTCAATGCTACTCAAGAGTTGTACACTGCTCGGATCTAGGTAAGAACCTAAGTCAACTTGTTTTGAAGAAAACTGTCATTCTGACAAAGTGAAAAGGATAGGGAAAGTTGTCACTGAAATTTCAAAATCCCACTGATTGTGAGGGAGACTTTCACTTAAATTTTTGGAGACTTTAACAAACCCCAAATTACTTTAAAATTCAGAACCATTATAGGAGAATGACAGAAATTTCATAGTTAGAACATTTCCTTTTCTTTCCAAATTTGAATCAAAGTTCTCACATTTTATTTCCCTCATGGAGAACAGACACTACCTTGCTTTCATCTTAGGGTATAAGGAGGCTGAGAATGTGTTTTCTGAAAAAAATTCTAGAACAACAAAATAAGCTGCCTGTCTAAAACAATGAATAGGTTACAAAGTTTGTGAAATATGTAATCTAGACATTTTAAAGACAATGCGCTACTTGTTTTGAATGATTTGGGCTTAGAATTGTCTAAAAGGAAGTGTCTAAACAAATGTACTTTCTAAAATCTTTTTTTTAAAAGATATATTTATTTATTTATACAAGCACTAGGTACAGTCAGAAGCGCGGGAGGGTGAGAGAATTCACCAGAGCCAGAGCGGGGAGCACAGCAGGCAGAAGGACCAAGGTACACTGCTGAGGGAAGCAGCAGGCGGCAGGAGAAGTCTGCGCGCCATGTGGGACCCTCCTCTGGTGGCCTGGGAGCAGCCGGGGATCGAACCGGCGCTGCAAAGGCTGTGGGCAGCATTCAACCGCTGCGCCACCGGGAAGGCCCCACTTTCTAAAGTCTTAACAGCATTCATGGTAATACTGAATGTTGTTATAAGCCACTTTAGAAACTTTAAATAAAAGTGTCATTATGGGGTAAAATGAAAGAGGTGAACAAAAAGCACTCAGAAAGAGATTATTATGAGCTAGAACCACTGAGAAAATCTCAGTGGAATGTACAGGCTAGGGAAAAAAGAATTTTAAGCTTTACCTTTGAGATCCTATGAGAAAGAGATGACAAGATGCAAGCAGTATCTGAGAAAAGCTCATCAGGAAGAGCTCGCCAAGTAGCTCTGGGAGGAGAAGCAGGAAGGGGCAAGGCAGTAGCGGATAGATGAATTTACTACCACTTCTTAACTGCATGCCAGGTAGGAAAAGCCTCTACCATCAGTTTGTGGAAGTGGTGCATATGAAATCACTTTGTAAAAAAAATCAGGATAAAATGCACATATCTATTTTGATATAGCTGGATGCAAACTGGGTTGGTTCTAGGTAAGTTATTGCTAGAGAGATGTTCATCTTAGTATAAGACATCCTCATGTGATGGTCTTCATATCTGGGAGAAATTTGCATTAGCTCTGTACACCAAAGAACAGAAAAACCAAACCCTCAACAATAGAAGGTTGGTTGCGGTAGTTGTTCCTTATACCATCTTCTGAATATCTAGCTTTAAGAAAAACCTATTAAACAAAATTTACCCAAGAATATTTGTAGTAGGCTGATACACACTATTAAAATGACATCACTACCCCTATCCCTCTGACTGCTGCTGACAGGGGCTTGCCATACATTATTATTTACTTTAGTGAGTGTGGGAAGTGTCCATGGAAGTCTGTGTTACCTGGTTCTTTCTACAGAAACTCCAATTTCCTGCCAGACCTTTCATGCCATCTTCTAAAACCAAAATAATCCCCTATATTTATCACTATGGCAAAATTCACCTGTGCTACAAACAAAACTGCTGACCCATCAGGTTACCCCTTCTTCCTATCTTAAAAAAGATGCACAAATGCCTTAAAAGAGTTGTCATTTTTAAAGTCTGTAAGGCAAACTATTGAGGGCAGATGAACTACTGGCTTTCATAATATTTAGGTACTAAATTCTTCAATTTGGGCTATTCAATTTACTACTACTCTTCAAAAGATAAGGACAGCTCCCCACAAAGCACATTAATATTTGGAAATCACCTTGAAATGCACAAAAAGACAAGTTGGTAAATTGAGAATAAGTCTAGTCCAATGAAATGTTGATGTCAAAAAGAAAATATGGGTTTTGGGCTTTTTCTGCATGTCTGAACATTTTCATAATGATATATTGGGAACAAACAAGATGGTGCTGTGCTCCACAAACACAAGTGCTGTATGAATGCTTGACTGCAAGCTGGGGGTTGGGGCAGGGGTGGAGTTCAGCATCTGGGAAAGAAAGAAAAGAAAGAAACACACCGAACATACCACCAAAATATATTTAAAGTCTTTTATAAATTAACATTTATTGAGTAGTAATATACCATATGACTATAACTTACTCTGAGATTACTATACCTTAATCTAAGATGACAGAAAAGAAAGCTATTACTGTACCTGCAAAGCACAGAAGTAACAAGACAGACCTTGGTAACTTCAAAACAGAACACACAGCTGGAAATGTGAGCCCAACTACTCTGCGCTGAGCTAACTCCGCTGTGATGACTTCAGTAAAGTCTACCACACATTTAGATGTTGTGATAAGTTATATGAGAATGAGTTTTCATAAATCAAATAATGTACAGCTAATTGGAGGGGATTATTATTAAAGGAAATGGGTAGCAGAGATTTTGAATATGTATAAAAATAATCTAACTTATCTACTTCCAAACATAATTGTTGAAGCTTATTAAAATGATAAAACCCACAGGCTTCAATTTTGCATAAGAGCCCAAAAATTTGCAAAGAATGTTAATATTTCTCAGCCAAAAATACATAGGCAGGACTGGTGTCTCACTGTTTGTCCCTCCCTGTCACAATGGCAAGGCCCCACTCACTTCTATTATTCACCTTGTGGCACATGACTAAGCTAGACACCTTGTAAAAATAAAGACGTTACTTGCAGAGATCTCTGGTCCTTTTCAAAGAACCTATGTTTTTATCATCTGTTACATGGTAAGTCATCTGTTACTATATGAAAACCACTAATTTTAACACATGAACACTTCTATCAGATTAGCAATTTCATCTTCAGCAAATAACAGCTATATAACATGTCTGTTTATTTCTCAGGTTTGTCCTCTGTCCCAAGCAACATTCCATTCGATACTCGCATGATTGACCTTCAAAACAATAAAATCAAGGAAATCAAAGAAAATGATTTTAAAGGACTCACATCACTTTATGTAAGCATATATGCTCACATTTTCAAGTATTTAAGTGAACATCTCTATCAGTTCTAAAATTATTGTGTTAGTGCAAACAATTCTTCGTGTAAAGCCTGACAGTGTTCCAGTTAATACAAAATTAGATTTATTCAATGAGTAATTTAATTCAACTAATGTTTATTGAATAATAGCCAAGTGAAACAGTCCTTAAATGAGCTTATGACCTGTTTTGCAATCACATTTACTGTACTACAAAATGAGTAAGGCTATAATTCTTCATGGGAACTCATTAACATACGGTATAAGGGAATTTGTATCAAATCACTGTTTCTTAAGTCACCAAATTCTCTAACAGCAGCACATCAACTATATACAATTTACTAATACATACTCATGTGACTTTTCTTCTAGACCTTTAAAGGTGAATTTTTCCCTTACTATTTTTTTTTTTAAGATTTATTTATTTATTTATACAAGCACTGGGTACAGTCAGAAGCGCGGGAGGGTGAGAGAATTCACCAGAGCCAGAGCGGGGAACAGAACAGGCAGAGTGATGAGATACACTGCTGTGGGGAGCAGCGGGCGGCAGGAGAGGTCTGCACACCATGTGGGACCCTCCTCCGGTGGCCGAGGAGCAGCCGGGGATCGAACCAGAGCTGCAGAGGCTGCGGGCAGCTTCGCAACACAGCGCTCAACCACTGCGCCACCGGGGAGACCCTTCCCTTACTATCTTTATAATTATATATAATAGAACTGCATAAAGGAGGAGGATAAGAGCTTTATCGAGCACTCTCAAATGCCTTCCCAGCAGTTGGGTTAGCAATGTCACCAGTTTATATCTATAAAGTGCACTGGCCCAGTGTACTGATATAGAGTACTTTTTAAATTGCATACTTTATGTGAATTGTGGGTATATTGTATATTTCAAAACATTCATCTAATTATAATATGATTTTATATGGTACCTATCTTTAAAGAGAATCAAATGTTTTTACATATTCTATAAATCCTCTATATGATGTTTTAGCTGTTTGTTTGACATTGTGGTTCCTACACAAAAGACAGCACAGCATTTAGAGAATGAGAGGCCCTCACACATACTCCTTCCCTGTTCACTTTCAGGTCATAACAGCCACATTCATCATGAAGAACTATTGCCTATTTCTGAAAGGCTATACTTTTCTCATTTTCTGTTCTTACATAAAACCACATTGTTTGTTAATGATGAATGTGGGGCTCTGGAGGCCACTTTTGGAATTTTCATGTAAAAGTCAACACTGAAAGTACAATTTAACTGGAGACACTGCTAACCCAATGGCTGGGAAGGCATTTGAGAGCACTCTATAAAACTTTTACCCTCCTTCTACATTACATATCCTTTCTTTTGTGAGTTCTAACCACTACACATCTTAACCAAAGGAAGATATCAACTCTGAGCTAACAGGGCACATATTTGGTCTATGTCTCCTGACAGGGAAGTCCACAGAAAGTGACACAAGAAGACACAGGGTAGAGGGCCAGGGCCAGCTCTGACCCCAACTTGTCAGGTGATTGTAGGCACATCAGTTTTCTTCATTGTATCCATTTCCTTATCACTAAAGGGAGAGAAATAATTTCTGCTAAAATTTACCTCATAGGGCCAAATGAGGACTGATCATGTTATTAAATTTTTCAATATAACCAAACGAAAAGAGTACAAGCCATTAAGTGGCATCATTCATTTAGAAAGAACTTTTTGCCAGTTAGTAATAAAATATAACTTCAACTCTTTTCGTAGATGAAATTTTTAACAGTGGTGATAAGTTTGAAAGCACTCTATACAAGTTTGAGAGCACAGCATTTAGAGACTGAGAGGCCCTCACAAACATTCCTTCCCTGTTCACTTTCAGGCCATAACAGGGTAAGAAAAGGGGATGAAAAGAGCCTACAGTGAAACATAATAATGGTAACTGTCAAAGTATGTTTCTTCTGTGAACAACAAAAAATCCAGTACCAACAGAAAGGCATATTAAGTTACTCTGGAAACAACAGGATGATTGTTGCAGAATGGGACTGGAGACAAAATTTATCAAAGAAATGAATCCAGATCTGTTCCTTGAAAGAATTAGAACTTTTTATCCCCCTCTACTAATCCAGATGATCTAATTCTTAGGAAAGCTAAGCCACTGCCATCACTTAATAAACACTGGAAATTCTTTCTGCAAAGTCTGGCAATAAAAAAAGGGTGAAGTTATGCCTTTTTTGCAATGAAAATAGTTATTAGGGTGATTGATGTGACCTTGATGCCAGGACTTTCCCAGTTCGGGTTCTAAAGTTCACGCATCTGATTAGACTGAGGAGGCTAGTCTCCCTAACAGTCAGGCGCCTCTAACATGTCATTGAGGGTTTGGTGTAGAGAATGCAGGGTCACTGAACGAAGTCTTTCCCTCTCTGGGTTATATCTCCTCCAAAGGGAGCTGCCACGTTGTACTGAGAAAGATCCTTGGAACCAATGAGGGTTAGTCACTGTTCCCAGGACCCAGTCCCATCTCTACAACATGTGAGACACACCAGAAAGCTGAAGACAATTAATAGGAATTCATTCCTATTTGGGGGGAAATGATTAATATTAGTAAACATAAAAGAAATAATGTTTTGAAAGTAGATAAAATCATGCAAAAATGTATTTGATATACACTTAACTTCATTATGTAGGTTTTAAGAGAAGATAAAGATAATAAGCACTGATCATTTTTTTAAAGGGTAACAGGGGAGGGGGAGCCTTAACCAACTGAACATACCACCTATTCAAAGATAAACCAAAACACAAAACCAATCATTACAGTTTTGCAACGCAGTAGTAAATATTTATTATTAGCTTAGACTGGGCAGAGAATTACATTATGAATCAAGTACACAAATGACATAATTTGTGTTGATTCTACGAGTGACTAATCACTGTAGAATATCAGTAAATCAAATCCACTTCCTAATATTGTGTAACTTTTGATGTGTTATCTAGGCTTTGATTCTGAACAATAACAAGCTAACAAAGATTCACCCCAAAGCCTTTCTAACTACAAAGAAGTTGAGAAGACTGTATCTGTCCCACAATCAACTCAGTGAAATACCACTTAATCTTCCCAAATCTTTAGCAGAACTCAGAATTCATGATAATAAAGTTAAGAAAATACAAAAGGAGACATTTAAAGGAATGAACGCGTTACACGTTTTGGGTAAGTTTTTGCAAACGAATGGACCATTTTCAAATTATAAGCAATATGGAGATGTTGAGGTCTTAGTCATTATTAACAATTTTAGCTGGTTATATCCAAAATTAATTTTTGAATCCAATAATCTTTACCTTGATAAGCCATTTATACATCAATTAAAGTATCAAACAAAATCTTCAGCACTTACAGGAAAATATACCTTTGTAAAACACAGGATAATGAATTCCCTCTTCCTCTCCCCCTCTCTCAAGAATTCCATTTGAAACACCTAGAGAGGTTTCTGTTTTCTGACTGAATCCAAATTGGTAAAATCTGTTCAAAAAGGTATCACTTTTAATGTGTCACATACTCAAATATAATGTATAAAATTTATATGGATATTATTTGGAATGTACATCTAACTTCTCATTACCTGCTTTAAGAGTATTGAGCTTCGGAAATTGTTGTTATATACTTTAAATTCCATCCTATTTTCTAAGAATCATGGTATAATCATTACATGTACCTCTACATTATCTATTCAAAATACCTAACCAACATGTGCTCATTGATTTATTGACTTACTTAATTCAACTGAGAGCCTGGTTATTAAACAGCTTTATTTACTGGCATTTCCTCAAAAGTTATATTTCTATAATCAAATAAATTGGTTTAACATTTTAAAAATTCAGTTGACAAATAAAAAAACACAAAGGTTTTAAATTATTTGAAGGATGACTTCTCTTCGATATAGTACCACAATAAAATCCTTCTCATGCTTATGATTGGAAGAGATAATGATAATGTTTTGATTTAGTAACTCAAAGCAAAATAGTGAGCCTACTTTATACTCCAGCTTATGATATACAAAGCAATCTTCACTGAGTCTGACAGATGGGGAGTGGATAAAAAGATATAATGAGTGAAAAAGCCATGAACCATGAAGTTAACACTTTTCGGGGTTTTCTTAAAATATGTATCTCTGCATTGTTAGTTCCCTTCATATACAACATATGCTTGCTGAATTATGTAATTTCTCCCCACAGAAATGAGTGCAAATCCTCTTGATAATAATGGCATTGAACCAGGGGCATTTGAAGGACTGACAGTATTTCACATCAGAATTGCAGAAGCAAAACTGACCTCAGTTCCTAAAGGTTTGTATTTACTCTAAGATAAAGCATTTTATTTGTCATCTTTAAGTGACCATTAATGTAATGTAAACTGTATACATTGTCAAAATCACAGCACAATTAGAATTTTTAACAATATATCTGGTTAGTATAGGATAAAATTAGTATTCTCTCCCTCTACCTGCACTCTCCCTTCACCCCCACCCCCCACAGTCATGTATACAATGCTTTTTTCATTTGTCAGTATGAAACCAGAACACACACACACACACACACACACACACACACACACACACCCCGCCCCACCAGGCAATGAGAACAAACATTAAGAAGCCCAAGACTGCCTGCAGGTGTTTTTTTCCACAAATCTTTTCTCTTTAAAAAGCAGCAGTAACCACAGCTTTCTGCCTACCTGTGCCTATGCATGGGCCCCCTTCTCTTTCCCCTTCTCCTCTTCCTAATAAACCTGCTTTTAAAATGTAAAAAATAAAAAAAGAAGCAATGAACTTTCTTTTTTTTTTTTTTTTTTTAAGAGACGGGGTCTCGCTATGTTGCCCAGGCTGGAGTGCAGTGGCTATTCACAGGCGCGATCCCACTACTGATCAGCACGGGAGTTTTGACCTGCTCCGTTTCCGACCTGGGCCGGTTCACCCCTCCTTAGGCAACCTGGTGGTCCCCCGCTCCCGGGAGGTCACCATATTGATGCCGAACTTAGTGCGGACACCCGATCGGCATAGCGCACTGCAGCCCAGAACTCCTGGGCTCAAGCGATCCTCCAGCCTCAGCCTCCCGAGTAGCTGGGACTACAGGCGCGCGCCACCACGCCCGGCAAACTTTCTATTTTATTTCTCTTTCTTAGCATTTACTCATCTATACTTGTCAATTCAATGACATGTTTGCTAGTTAGAGCTGAGAATTCTGACAGGAAGAAAGCAGAGGAAGATGCATAGGACCCTATCCATATGCCCTCTTGTGACATAATTGTTACCAGAACAAGTGATACTCTATCATGTGCCTTGAAGTTGGTGCCTCAAAGTAAAATGTTACTAAGGTCTGCTACTTGACCCTTTTTGTATTTTTCAAACACATTACTTCCATGCTGCCAGTCTGATGAGCAAGATAGGCTTGCCTTTCTTGCTACCCTTGCTCAAAGCTCCACTTTCCTTTTTCCTGAGGAGGATACTCTCTGCTATGACAACTGCCTGTATCAGCAATGACCGCTATGGTGAACAGAGTATTTTCCTTTCAAATAGCTATCTTTTGGGATTCAATGATTGAGACAGCAACTTTACCCTAATTCTTTTTCTACTACTTACCTGACCAAGGCGGTTAAAAAAACAAATTGATAATTTAAAAGACACAGCAAAGCTGCAATTATTAATTAGGTAGTGATATTTCACTTACAGCATTAAAAAGCCATTTTATTTTAGATTTTAACAAGGTAGCTAAATATAACCAAAAATATTATATTTTTCTTTCTCATATTTAGAACAGTTAACAAAAATGCAAACTCTACCTATCAAATTAAATACACAAAATTCCTTTAATGTGCGGGAATTTGACACAGATTGAAGGGAACAGGAAAAGGAAGACCCCATTGGAAAACAGGGAGAGGAGTTAGTACAGGACAGGACAGGGACAAAAGGGGGGAAATGAGAGGAAAGGGGAGGTGAGAAGAGGAGGGGAACCAGAGAGGAGAGGACTAGGGCTGGAGGGAGAGCAGGAAAGAAGGGAAGCGGGAGGGGATCTGAGGAGTACTGTGTGGGATGAGATGAGGCGTGGGTAAGGGAAGCAAGCGTGGAAAGGAGGAGCAGAGGAGGGGTGGAGGCCAGAGAGCTAAGGAAAGGGGGAGGGGGCAATGTCCAGGAGTTAGGCTTAGAGGGGACCCCCAGTCACAGCTCTTTAGGTTCACAGCAGCTACAAACTACCTCTCTAGCCACATGTCTTCATGTTCCAAAGTGTATTTTAAAAATGAAGATTTAATTTTTCATGAAGTTCTCAAGATTCTCCCAAGGTCTAAAGTACAATTTCATGCTCTTAGAAATTGGAATCAAATTTCTCAACTTATAAAACTATTCATTCAAGATCTCTACAACATTCAAGCAAAGTTTTTGGCTTTTATGCTTTATTTGCTAAAATGCTAGGGCTGCCTGCCCAAATATTATAATCCAATCATTATTATCTGCTGTGACAGAATGAGATTAGGCAGAGATTCAAAAGGTCGTTCTCAGACTAGACAGGTTAACACAAGGAGGGTGGAAAACATTTTCCTTCCTATTCATTTGGAAAAGTCTACTACTTAACAGTATCGACTGACCGGTAGAGGTGGAGAGGATGGAGGAGACATCTGTCTGAAGACAGAGTAGGAATAGATATATGTTAGGGTTTATCAGCAGTCATTGGAGCTTCCATCCAAATCCATACCTCAGCTCATTTACCCTATGAAGGCTTCTTTTTCTTTAATCTTCCCCATGCTCTAGGGGTGGAACAGTCTCCTCAAATTTTACTAATATTCTCCCAATAAGTTTTCAACTCTCAAAATGAGCATCTCTCTCCCTCTCTTTGATTTGCTACAATGTATTCTAAAAAAGGCTAGCACATTCTGACATTTTCCTAGTGATTCCTGTAGGTGTGATGGATTTGCTAAACTATATAGAGACCTTTACATATTGGAGCATATAGTTACTCCATAAATATATTTAAACTCAACTAATTACAATTCAAGAAATTAGAACTCTCTCATTTTAGAATTACTTTCCTACTCCAGTTTATTTACTTTTAAAATTCAAAGTACATTCAGGAATCAACATAAATTCTGCCATGAAAAGTGTGATATTCATAGGATGCTTCAGTTATCTTCAACAGTTTTTACCACTAATATAGGAAGGAAATGACTCAGCAAGAGTTGAAGAAAAGAATACTTCCCCCAGTTTGCTAACTAGAACTTTTGATTGACAGGCAGTACCTTATCTATAGGGCTAAATAAATGAAATCTGAGTGGGTTTTCTGATTAGTCTCTCACTCTTTCAGTATCAGGAAATCTGGGGAGGGCTGGGTCAGGCCTGTAGGTGTCAGGAGAGCCAGATAGCAGATACTTCTTTGAATTCATGCAAAAACAAATAATTGGAAAGAATACTGCAATGTTTCAAATGTATTAAACAGAGTAAAAATTGTGCTTATAGAGATACTTGTGTCAATAGAGAGAGAGCGAGAAATCTAACAGAAGAAGAGATATTAAGAGGTAAATAAGTCTGGAAACTACTCGGCTCCTGAGTAAAACAAATCAAGTGCAAAATAATATATTTGAGTTCACTAGGGAAATATTGGATAATTGTAAAGAATTATTGCTAATTTTGTTAGATGTGATATTGATATGATAGTGGTATTTAAAAAACGATGATCTTATGAATTAGAGACATATGTATGGAATCTGATTTTAAATACTCTGACAAAAAAATGTGAATAAATAAATAAGACAATAAATACCTAATTGAGTAGATAACATAATACTGGAAAAATAGAAGAAATTGAAGCCATGCAACAGCAGTTCATAACAGTTCATAATACTAGTTTCTAATTTGGTGTATGTTTGAAATTTTCCATAATAAAAATTTTTTTAAAAAGTACCAATAGCTAGAAAATTGCCAGGTCCATAATATAAAACTTAACCAGTAAATAATCAATGAGGCTTGGTCTTTCTTGACTATATGTATTTTTTTTCTTATCACTAGGACTACCAACAACTTTACTGGAGCTTCATTTGGATTATAATAAAATTTCAACTGTTGAACTTGAGGATTTCAAACGATACAAGGATCTGCAAAGGTAAACGTCCCCAAATCTTAACTCAGAAGTGGCAGCCTGTGCTTTTAAGATATTAATGAAACTTCTTGGAGAATGCACAGGGAGACCTAGCCAAGATGATCACTGCTGCTACTGAAGAATATGAAGGGAAAACTCAAAGAAAATGCTAATGTAGTGTCTAGGTAATGGGGGGAGGAAAACCAAATGGAACTAGGAGAAAGGCACTTTTCAAATGTCTCTTTTGTTGAATATAGTTCAGATAAAGAATTTTCTGACATAAAATACTTTCCTCTGAACATATACACACAAATAGGATAGATAGTATTTCTAAATAGGTTGTGGTATTTTCAGTATCAACTTTCAGTTTTCAGTATTAACTGTATCACACTATCTGCTTAAGAGTCTGTACATTTTGTATTATTTTTAGGCTGGGCCTAGGAAATAATAGAATCACAGATATTGAAAATGGAAGTTTTGCTAACATACCACGCATACGAGAAATACACTTGGAAAAGAATAAACTAAAGAAAATCCCTTCAGGATTACCGGAGTTGAAATATCTCCAGGTAAAACATTCTACTTATGTTTTGTGGATATTTTATTTTTCTTTATTTCTATAAAACAGTATCTGAAGCAAAGACCAAACAAGTAACAAGGGTCATTCACACATAATGACTCTCAGATTACCTGGGTATTCTGTGCAGCAGGAGAGTATCAAGAGAATGGGTTCTACACAGACACAGTTAAATATTGCAGGTCCTGTGTCTTTCTTCTGGTTTCTCCTACTGACAGTCCATTGTGGCAAAGTTACTAACCCATCTACTTTTAGGTTTCTTGGGTGGCAGTGGCTGTATCAGGGCAGGACTAGTCAGGAAGAAACCAAGTAGAACCAATGTGATTTCATTTCTGAAGGTAGCACATGGATATGAGTTCCCAGGCATTTTCACCATCAATGTGGGGCTACATTAGAAGTATGTATGCTTTTAAAAAATTTTTGGGCCAGAATATATTTATATATTCATACCAGAAGTCAGTATTTGGTGTAAGCATCAATACTAAACAAAAGTCAGTATTTGGTTTAAGTTGAAATTTTTTGTTCTTCATTATTAGAAATGTTTCCCTTCTCTTAGCTGGGAGAAGCCACAGAATCCTTGGAGAATAATAAAGTTTTGGATCCGCCTAAGAACAAAACATGAAAACAATATTTTGCACATAATATTAGGAGTTTCACAACACCCTGATTCTTATGTATGGACCTCAAATTAAGAGGTCCCATTTCATTTGGTCCATTTTCCCCTGTGCTTTCCTTGATGTACAATGTCCTGATCTTTTAAGTAGCAAAAACACAATGAGAAAAATACTGGGCCTTGGCCACTTGCTTCTTCTAGATTTCTTTCCAACTTATCTTTAAATGAGGTTTGCTCACTACACTCTTTTGAGATAGAAACCATCAAAATGGACATGCTAGAGGCAGGTGTAACAACTTTTGCTTTTGACTTTCAAATGCTGCATGTAAGTATCTCTCTAGGCAATGAACATGACCTAGTCTTTTCTCTCAAGCTATTCATCTTTGTTCATTTCTCCACAACTCCAACCCAGCTTCTGGGCACTCTTAAATCTACCTGGACTCTTTAAAAGTGAACAGGATGATAGCAGAGAAGAACACAATCACAGAGTAAAGCTCAACAAATGTCCACACAGCAAGACTCTATGTCCAGCACTGTTTTCCAATCCCTGTGGGTCAATGCTAGGCAGACTTGACTTCAGTGCTGATGCAGGCTGCAGACAAGAACTACATAAAGCATTTCTTACAAAAATAACAGAGAGTAGAGGGAATTCCACACCAAACTTAAAGGTTTTACCTGGAGTTTTCATGAACAATTCAGATGAGTCTTACCAAGACATAAAAGCAGAATCTAGAGGTAATAGCAGCCAGAACCCATATCTTAGCTTTGCCAGCAATAGCTCAGGCTTTTTTAAAGGTCAAAACGCTGTCATTAAGTAGACTGTCTTTCTTCCCAAAAATCCCCGTGTTGCCAAAAAAGGAATTTAAAGAGAATGAAGGAAAGTTCACATATTATCCATTCTTTCAATAATAATTTCATTTAAAAATACACAGTCTTTGATATAAATATAAAATTGTATTTTATCCTTTGGTACAAATAAAGATTCAACTATTGATGCTCTATTACAGATATGCATTAAAATGTGAATAGGCATATTTTTTCTATAAAACTTGCACAAATGTAGTCCTTTCTCCCTTGATCAGAGAAAATGCTAGCCAATCATTCTTTCATATTCATAATACAAGACTAATTCTTAGAGCATTAAAGCTTTATTCTTCTGTTAATTTTTAATACATTTAAAACACTATTGCAAATATGGCACTGAAGTAACCATATCTATCTATCTACCTACTCTATCTATCCTTATCTACCTTCTATCTATCTATCTATCTATCTATCTATCTATCTATCTATCTATCTATCTATCTATCTATCTATCTCTACCTACTCTATCTATCTGTATCTACCTACTCTATCTATCTCTATCTATCTATCTATCTATATCCATCCATCCATCCATCCATCATCCACCCACCCACCTACCGACCTGCCTACCTACCCTTTATCTCTCTATCAAGGAGAATGGCATGATACCAGGCAAGGTGCCGAGGGACCATGAAGGGTGTTCTGGGCCTTGGCATGAGTCCTGTGCCACAACTGACACACAGGACACTTTTATGTATAACATGTGATAATAAATATTTAATGTGTACAATTGAGTATATTTTAAATGAAATGCATTCAAAGCAGTATAAAGACAAATCGACCAAATACTGACTACAAACAAAATATCTCCTTAAATATTTGTATATTTAACTCAACTGTTTTCCTACTTCAACAGATAATTTTCCTGCATTCTAATTCAATTTCGAAGGTGGGAGTGAATGACTTCTGCCCAACAGTGCCAAAGATGAAGAAATCTTTATACAGTGCAATAAGTTTATTCAACAACCCAATGAAGTACTGGGAAATGCAACCTGCAACATTTCGTTGTGTTTTGAGCAGAATGAGCGTTCAGCTTGGGAACTTCAGAAAGTAATAGTTAGCAATAGTAATATCCATTTAATATAAATTTAAAAATTATTACATTTGGAATACTTGAACTCTATTAATAATGGTGGTATAGCACACATCAGCAAAAATCTATTCCTACATAAGTCCACTGACTTAGCTCATGACAAAAAATTTCAGAATTTTGCAAAACTATTAATATATCATGATTAAGAGAAACAAGCATGTACTGCAGTTTCCTTTTTGCATACAAGTGATTTTGCATAAAGCTCATGCTTGAACATTCTTTCTCAGTAACAAAAAAATAAGACATTCAGTATTTAATTTGATAATTTTATCAAGTGCATTTTAAAAAGAACTGTACTGTAAATGGAATGCCTGACTTAGCAAAATTTGTGTTCTTTTCATTTGCTGTTGGAAAACCAAAATTGACAAGGATGGTTATATTATTCTTATCCTTTCATTAACACCTTGGGTGGTACTGTAATATTTCTCATAATGTTTAAGTATGGTTTGATATCTTTAATTACATTTTCATGTCTCAGAGCCTTATTGCTTTTACGTTTAAATCTAACTCCTTAAAGACTTCAGTAAGTGTGTATTACCACCTTGATAGAGGCTATTCATAAAAGCTGGTTTTGGGGCTATAGTACATGCTTTTCTTTTTTAATTATTACCTGATTATAAAACTTCTATAATATTGTGTAGTGAGTGTTTATGTAAAATCTGTTAATTCAAATTTTTTATTATTACAGTTCTTATAAGCTTTTAACATTAATTCAATTGTTAGGTTATGTAACATTGTTGCCTCAGTGCTAAGGAGTATTTTTGAGATTTCCTTTTGGAAGACCTTGGTTGGAAGAGCCTGAACATTACCAATTCTACACCAATTGTCTCTTCAAATATACAGACTGGAAAACTCTGAAAGCCACATCTGTTATAACTGAATAGGCAAGCCTTAAATAAAACATACAGAAACTAAAAACTCTTTATAAAAGTTAAGGGCAATGTATGTAATTTTCATTGGCATTCAACACAACATAAATTAAGTAAAACTAGAAAACAAGGGAAACATCAAAAAAACCTTTTGAAATAAAATATTTGTATATAATATTTGGTATAATTCTCCCACCCCAAAACAAATGATTTTTCAGGAAATCTTAAGAGTCAAATCACAGTTGGTTGAAAACAACTGCTTCATAGAAAAATTACTTAATTTTGAAATTGTGACATAAGATTGGAAATGTGGAACAAACCAGTTACTTTGTTTTGTAAATTTGTGGGAGCAAGATGGAAGTATGATTAATATAATAAAGCTTAACCACTAGTAGTAACAGAACAGAAAGAGCACAGAAATGCAGAGCTTTCAGTTGGAAGAAGTAACCAGAACCCAATTCCTCTGATAGCCTTAGGTAAATCTCCTAAGGAACCAGTCTCTTCCTCTGTACAGTGTGAAGGTGACCATATGAATGAATGAAGTTGCTATGAGGACAGAAGGATATAAATGTATGTGAAAATGCTTTGTAAACAATAAAGGTTCATGTTTGAGCGAAACTTTACTCTGGACAACTATTGAATGGTGAAAAAAATTAAGAATTATCAAGTCTTTAAAAATTAAGAATACATTACGGCGATAATCATTCTAAAATTAAAATATTCTACAGTTCTGACAGTTTTAAGAAATAAAATACTCTTTTCTACAACACAACTTAAAACTAAAATTGTGATATCATTGCATGTATAACAACATAAGTAGAAACCAAATGTTTACCAAAATTTTAAGACTCCAGATCTTGAGTATGGTCTGAGCAGTAGAGTTTAAAGTAGCTAACTTAATCTTTTCCTAAAAGACAAAACAAAAATTTTGAGTGCCAGAAATGATTCTTAAGATCACTGTAACTAATTTCCTGTAGTTAATCTTTTTGTTTTTCATCCCTCAGCTATTAACCATTTTTCAGTTATAAGTTTGCAAAAAACAAATCACGAATAAATATCACAACCAAAGCTGCATTAAAGTGTTCTGCCACAAACCCATTTTATAATAATACAAATATTAACCTACTTGACTTTCTTGACATTCATTAGAAACAAAAAATTACTACAAGTTATTGTGTTTATTAAGGTCTTCCAGGCAGTATAATATCTCAATGGCAATCTATCCTTATTTCTTCTGAAGTAACTACAATAAAAAAATGAACATTGAATTCAGGAAACAAATATCATACTTTTAGAAAAATCACTTGAAGTCACATATTAAAGATTGAAAAATAAATCAGTTTTGTTCCTTCTTAATCTTTTGCATTATTTCTTTCCTTCTGCCATTCTTTCTAGAAAGACTTGTCTTACCTCATTTGTACTTACCTCTCTAATGATATAATCCTACTGACTTAACAATCTTATTTCCCTAAAGTCATACTGTATAAATAACTTTAAGCAACAATAGGTGGCCTTTTAAAAATGTTTTCAGATGTTCTTCCACCAAAAGCTTTTCTTGTATTTATTCCTTTAGTCCTCTCAACAGCCCTATGAGGCAGGTCTCTGAATCCTCATCTCAAATGCTGACTGCAGTGATTAACAAACTTTCAAAAGCAAACCCTAACATTTGTAGCTAGAAAACGCACTCAGAATTAGCACTATGAACAATGTTAGTGAAGCCCACATTGTCCCCCTCCATGTTTTCTCTTCTTAATCATTTGGGCACTTACAGACCTTCTTGCCCTTCTATGACCTTGCCCTGCTTTCCCATCTGCCGGCATCTATCCCTTCCTTCTTATTCTCTTCTCACACCCCATATCACAATCACTTTATTTTTTAATTGGAATATTAAAAGTGGTTCCTTGCCTCATTTTGCAGCCCAATGTGAACATGACCAAGCAAATAGTTCAGTGTATTATCTGGATTGCATATGCCAGTTCCTTCATCAAAAGCTCTCAGCGTTCCTGAGTTATAAAACCTTCAACCTATCTTTTAAGACTGTCTAGGCCCCACATTCAAATAATGACTTGAACTTTTATGCTTACATCTTTTTATGCTCTAACACAGGATTACTTGCTAGTTCTCAAGTATATTATTTATTTTCTGGCAGCTGTGTCTTTGCTCATGCCATCTTTTGTATCTATCACAATCTCACCCAGCCTCAAATGTCAAAAGTCCATCTTCCCGATTCTCCATAAACAGATATGGCTTCTTCCCCCCCTGCCACTGAATCTTCCCAGCATTTTGATTGTGCTTCTCTTCTGCCCTTATCACAACCTATCTTATTATAGCTATTTATATACTGATCTTTTCCAGAGTATTCTAGACATCTTGGTTGTAAGCACTGTGTTTCAGTCATCTTGGTATTCCCTCTTTTTCCCCCCCTTACCAAAGGCTGGCACAGTGCCTTTGCTCAATATATGCTTCTAAATTAATCAATAAAGGAAAAGGAAAAACTTTTTTTTTTAAAAAATTTATTTATTTATACAAGAGCTGGGGTATAGCCCAGAGGCGTGAGAGGGTAAGAGGATTCACCAGAGACAGAGTGGGGAACAGAACAGGCAGACTGATGAAATACACTGCTGAGGGGAGCAGTGGGCGAGACAGGAGAGGTCTGTCATGCCATGTGGGTATCTCTGCGGCTGGCGGGATCGAATTGGCACTGCAGAGGCTGTGGACAGCTTCACAGTGCAGCGCTCAACCGCCTGCGCCACCAGGGAGGTCCAAAAGGAAAAACTTTTATTCTCACCATGTCATTCCCCTTCCCCTCCTGCTCCAGGGCAGTGGACACATCCCCTTTGCAGATGTACTGCTGTGCTCTTAGTTCTCAGAGGGAGGGGTGGAGGCATTTTTTCCCAATGCATTCAGTGTTACTGAAGGGTTTATTAGTTTCTATCACAGGCTTTGGGGAGTTTTGAACAAATCCTCACACCCAATCAGCTCTGACTAGTGCTGTAACAAGGGAAGCATTCTCAGCAGTAATCTCTCCCCTGGTGAAATAGTAAAATGAGAAATAAAGAGCTGTTTTAAAATGAACTCTTACATGGGCCTCCCTGGGGGCCCAAGGGGATAAAACACAGCACTATGAAGCTATCTGCAGCCACTGAAGCACAAATTCAATCCTAGGCCAGGAGGTGATCCACATGGCGCAGCAGACTTCTCTTGTCTAGCCTGCTGCTCCCCTCAACAGTATGTTTCAGTAAATATGCCTGTTCTGCTCCCCACTCTGTCTCTGGTGAATCCTCTCACCCGCCCTCATCCCACACCTCTAGTCTGCACCCCAGCTCTTGTATGCATAAATTTTTAAAAATAAAATAAAATAAACCCTTACATGGACATAAGAGGTTACAGATGACCTGACTAAAGGTCAGAAACAGGACAAATCAAGACAAGGGGCAAATGCACAGATCATTTTCTACTTTAAAAGCAGAGTACAGGCAGTCATGTGAAGTTCTGATATAAAGACCTGAGTTTGATGTCTCATTGGGTCCAGACTCAACTTCTGGATCTACAAAGGGGAGTCAATATTGCTTTAATTTTTTTTCTCTCTCTTCTTTTAAATATATATAAACGTAAGTTTTAATATCTTTTTTTTAAAAAAGATTTATTTATTTATTTATTTATACAAACACTGGGTACAGTCAGAAGTGCAGGAGGGTGAGAGAATTCACCAGAGCCAGAGCAGGAACAGAATAGGCAGACTGACGAAATACACTGCTGAGGGGAGCAGGAGGCGCTAGCAGGAGAGGTCTGTGGTGACTTGTGGGACCCTCGCCGGTGCTGGGGAGCGAACTGGCACTCCAGAGGCTGTGGGCAGCTGCCCAGCGCTCAACCGCTGCGCCACCAGGGGAGGCCCACTTTAATTTTTTTTTATTAGGGATCTGGGGAGAAAATATAATTTTGCACAGCAAAAAAAGAAAAGAAAAAAAAAAAAAACTTGAGTTGGGTGCTGGTGATTTCCTTTTTATTAAAGAGAATTTATAATAGGAAAAAAAGTAGACAAAACAATAAAATGAGTACATCTCATTCATTTTCAAAAGTCAGCAACTCATAGCTAATCCTATTTCATTTATACTCCTAATCCTATTATTTTTTATAATAGCTTTATTGACTCATACACTGTACAATCCACCCATTTAAAGTATGTTCACTTGTTTTTAGTATATCCAGGTTTAGCAACCATGAATACAATTTCAGAATATTTTCAACTCCAAAAAAGAACCCTATGCTTGTTAAAAGTTACTCCCCATTTTCTCCCAACCTAGGTAAGCACCAATCCATTTTCTGTCTCTAAGGATTTTATATGTCTCTGGACCTTTCACATAAATGGAATAATAAATATGTAATCTTTTGTGTCTGACTCCTTCCATTTAGCATAATGTTCTCAACATGCACTCATACAGCATGTATCAACCCTTCATTTCACTAATCCACTCTATGGATGGGGCACATTTACTTATCCATTCATCAGCTGACTGACATGATTTGTTTCTGCTTTCTGGCCATAATGAATAATGCTACTACATTCTTTGGAGAAAAGGTTATTCAAATTCTTTACAATTTTAAGTTGGTGACTATCACTATTATTACTGCTGTCTTGTATGAGTTGCTTATGTACTCTAGAAACAAGTCCTTTATGTACCCCGGTTCTTGCATAAAAATAAATCTTAAAAAAAAAAGAAAAAGAAAAAGAAAATACTTCCCCTACTCTGTAGGTTGTTTTTTCCACTTTCTTTATAGCATCCTTTGTCATGGAAGAAAAAATTTAATTTTGATGATAACCAATTTATCTGTTTTTTTTTTCCTTGTTTCTTGTGCATTTGGTATATTCAAGGTCAAAAAGACTGACATCTATGTTTTATTCTAAAATTTAATAGTCTAGCTCTCATATATAGGTCTTTGTTTCATTTTGAGTTAATTTTTATATGTTAATCCATATATGGTATGGATTCCCAGTTTTCTTGGTCACATAGAAAACAAAAGGGAAGAACAGAATTTTAGGTCTGGAAACAGCCTTATTTAACCTCTTTACAATGAGAAAATGGATTCCCCAGAGACATAGGAGTCTTCAGGTTCATAACAATCTATGGAGACAGCCTCCCATGATGGCCACTGTGAATCTATAGCTATAGAGGTTCTACCACCTCTATCCATTCTGAAACCACAGAATAGCTTATGTGTAATTTCCCATATATACTGAAAAAGATACATATTTCAAAAATTTATTTCCAAAAATGAAATTTTTGCATTAAATTTGCTGGACAAATTACCTAATTTTCACCATGGAAGGGTAATCTTATGCTAATATGCTGTAGAAGTCTGAAAATAAAGACAACAAACCTAGAAATACTTTAAAAGAATCTCAAAACACTACTGTGATTTAAAAAACGTAAACAACATCTAACTAGAAGCAGAAATTATAATATGTGGTCTGGCTAATAAAAGCATATACTTGGGAAAACAAAGGGATGGAATATTTGAAAACTGGGAGCAGAGTTATACTTTGCATACTTATAAAGTGTGTGAGTCACTTCACAAGACTATAAAAATCTTATTAAAAAAAGAGACCAGCACTAGCATTTACAGAGCCCATACCATATGGCAATAACAAATGACGGATTCTAAAGGTAAGGTTGAAATACCAAGCACTCACTCAATCATCACAAAGCCTTATGATGGTAGAAATGGACATATCAATCCCCACCCCCAAATTAATAGAAAAGCATAGGACTTAAAACAGTGAAAACAATTTGGGAAATAAAAGAACAAAGCTGGAGAACATATACTACCTGATGACAAAGCCTACTGAAAAGCTGCTGTAACAAATAAGTAAGGCACATAGAACAGAGAGATAGAACTGAGAATCTAGAAAGAGATCTGTACATTTATGGTTAACTGACTTTTAACAACGATATCAAGGCAATGCATGGGGAAATCATCATTGTTTCAACATATGGTACTGAGATCATTGGCTATTCACATGGAAATAACTGAACTTAGTCCCTAATCTCATATTACATACAAAGTTAACTCAAAATAGATCACAGAACTAAATGTAAGAGATAAAACTACAAACTTCTGTAAGAATCTAGCAAACAAAAAAGAAATACAACTTTTCTTTTATAACTGTCCTAAATTGTTGAACAGGTAATAATTTTATAAACATTATGTATTATTAATTACAATAGCAGAGTTGAAGAATATTGTGCCTTCTCTAAGCTCCACAGTGAG